TCACGTCTACTTCTGCATCCACAAAGCTTCTCTGTTTCTGGGTGATGTCATCATCCAGGTCAGGCTTGATAGTGGAGCGCTTCTTGGCCATGATTTTAGCCTTGATGGCAGCGATCTTCTCCACAGACATGGCTTCTGACAGAGACCTAAGATCAGCAGAAATAGGATTAGCTAAACTGAGGGTCTCACAGCCTCAATTTAGGACAACTAAACGGTTAAGGGTCACAACTTTTACTATATTCGATATACAACACAGCTTTATTGAGTTTATAAAACCAGAATTACATTTTAAAATATTAAGAACAAAATTATAAAACGGTCTTTAGAGAATGAATTAATCACTTGCTTTCCATTTTTTACAAACTTGTCTGAAAGATCTGTTGTATGTATTGTGAACTCCCATAGTCCGTGATAAAGTGCTCCAATTATGCCATTTTAAAGGCTCCTAATTGGATGTCTCCTACAACAGGTTTACAAAATGCAAAATGGCCAAAATAAATCACAATAAACTTTTTCATATTAGTCGTCGATATCGATAACTTTCACAATAATAGTCAAATCTTTTTAAGGCGGATTTTTCCTCCCAAGTGAAAGTTGTAGAAGCTAGATCAGTAACCGATGATTTTTTGACAAGAGTGCCTCAAATCTGCACCATAAACAGGAGTTCTAACCTTTGTCACAAAAAGTTGACGGACACACCTTTAATAATTGAAACTTTGGGTTTTCATGTTAAAAGTTCATAATAAAACATATAATCTAGTATTTTTCAATAAAAAATATAATATAATATTATCCTCTAAAAATTTATATATATATTATCCTCTAAAATAAATCTTTTTTTATCCCCTTTTTTACATCACATATTTTAGTAGTTATCATAAATTAGGTATCTCAGAATTCATCCTATGAAAACAGATTTATAACTGAACGTTGCGTTACAATAGAAACGGCACTCTAAATTATTTTATCAGTCTCCTCCCCCTTTGGGCATCATTATATTTCATAATTTATGATCAAAACCTTTTATAATCTTGACAAAACACATATTGTCAGAAAGGTCTGTGTCACAAGGTTCCAAATTTTGTGAAAAAATTTATATTTGAACAGAAATGTATTAATTTAAGGCAGAGAATGTATAAAACTAAATTCAATGGAATTCAATGGCACCCGGTGGCTATTTATTGGTACTACACCTACAAAATCTCATGGGAACTTTAATTTTTGTGATATCAACTTCAAATTTGGAACATAACTTGGTAAGATTTATGGCTTTAATTTTAGAGTAAAAAATATTTTGTAAGATATACATTTTATATAAAATAAAAAATATATAATACAGTATATTTGATTTACTGTAAATTTAAACTTCTATAACTTTTTTTTTTTTTTTTTTTTTTTCACTTCAGCAATAATCTGCTGAGTGTTTTCTTTAAAACAAGACCAAAACAAGACTTGGGTATATATTCCAAATCATTCTTGAATTACAAACATTTAAGTTCGAATAGTGCATTTTAACCTCCATTCTCAAAAAGCGTGGTGACCGCTAAGGCGTTAAAACGCACCTGATCTGATCCGTCTGCACAATGCTTTCCTTGTGACCCTCGAGACGAGCTGCCAGACGCTCCTTATCCAGACGCACACGCTCTTCATCCTGAGAATCACATGAATAAATCATAAATTAGAGTCCTATATCTTAGAGCTCTGCTTTTCAGCAACATAAATGCGAGTAACGATTCTAGACAGAAAGCCAAGAAATACTTGTTTAAATGTTTCTCACCTCAACCCGAGGTTTTTTAGCCTCTGACGACGCTTCATCCGCTGCCCTTTTAACTTAAAAGTTAAAACAATTGCAAATGAACGCCAGTAAATGGGTGATTCTTGACTTAACTAGACTAAACTTTATCAAACTATGCTGATTTTTTTATGACAAGATCATGCTCTAAAGAAAAGAAAAATCCACACACCTTGTGTCGGCCTTTGTAGACCAATCTCAATGGGCGCACTTCTGTCGATACTCGTTGAGGATGCTGTAAAATTAAATTAAATGCCTCTTTAATTACAAACAGTTATGTCGCTTTAGCAATGACTTGAATATGGTAACGTCAGTGATTTCTCATCACACTTACAGCTTTCTCCATTGAGATAGGATAGCAAGTCTTTTCTGTCGGGTCGTCTTACAACAGGGATGTTCTCTGTCTGCGATCAGAGAAACAGCGTTACCTTTTACTTTACAATCAACTACGCAAAATGTGAACATTCTACATTATAAAAGAAAACCATGAAGAAAGTTTCTAACAGTGAATGAAGCTTTAGTTAAAACCTGCATTTAAAGGGGTCATGTTCTCAATATAATTCATAATCCCACGTTTATAATTAACAACACGTTATGGTTGTGTTATTAAAAATTGTGTATTCAGGTGTTAAAGTTAAGGTGGTAACACTACACTAAGCTTACTTTTGTAGATGGTTTATAAAGGTATCTGTCACTGATTAAGAAGTAATGTCAAAATAACAGTTATAACTGCATGAAGATGAATGGTAAAACATATCCTGCTAATATATATGATTCAAGACTATAAATCCTCGAATCCACGTGTGTTGTATTATAGACCATTTCACAAGATGTAAACAACACTGGTCCAGAAGCACTTCCTGTTTCAGTTTGTAACTGTTTTCTTTATTTCACATGTAAAGAAAACATCTTAAAGATGTTTGTTTAACTTTTTGATTCAGTTTTAAATGTTCTGTTGGTTGTATTTTATCCCAGCTTTTATGTAGTGTTAAAAAACTGAAACAGGAAGTGCTTCTGGACCAGTGTTGTTTACATCTTGTGAAATGGTCTATATAAAGACACGTGCACTTAAACGGCGTTCTAAGAACAGATCTGTTTTTGACCAGATAAAATGAGTGTTTTCTTACAATTCTAATGAGAATTTTTAGTTAAAGTATATTACAAACTTTTCCTTTAGCCCCTAAAGCATCATATTAACTTGTATAAAAATGACATTATATGACCCCTTTAAGGATATAAGGTCCCTTGCATAAAAACAATCATATGTGAAGGACCTTGGCATCTAAAATATAAAAAAAAAACATGGTATAAATCATACAGCACATATATAAAATAGTTTTACTTACTGCAGCTCTCCGCACATAGGACGGATGAGGAAGATGCACATTGTTGAGCAGGAAAAGAATGGAGTCAAGAGTGTAGTACTCTTTAGGCTGTCCCTCTTTTCCAGTTCTGTAATGACATTAAATCGCATGTCATATATACATAATTATTTATACATATATGAAACAAGGTTAAAGTCTATTTAGCATTTTTTATTTAATAAAACCAGCATTAAATGAAATGAAAAGTGGGATTGAACGTTTATTATTATTTTATGGATCACTTTTACTACCCCAAATAAACACGACAAGTAACACATCTTTGACAAGTGCTCTCTCTGCTGACAGCTAAATTTACCAGACAAAAAAAAAGAAAAAGAAAAGGTGGAAGAACTAACTGAACCTGCAAGCAAAGTCATTTTTTACCCTTTCATGAAGATACATTTCCACCTAAATAAGTTACAAAACGCAACAACCTTGCATGAACCCTACATGGGGCTCATCACATGAGATCAGGAGGCTTTACTAACATAACCAGCTGTTTTGCACCACGTAAACAATAACAGAAGAACCTTAAAAAAGATTGTGGAGGTTCAATGGTACAGTCAGTGGTAGTATTAATTGTATTCTAGTACCTTGAAACATTACACACGTCTTAGAATATCCATGCTCCGTGTTATTTACATGTTACCTCGCGGTATAGCATGGACAAAAAACATACTCTGCAGTTTTTAGATCCTATTTCGTGATACCAAGTTAGTGATTAATGATTGATTACAAAGTTTTTAACTCTCACTCAGAGTAAATGCCAATGTTTTAACGGTAACAAATGAGAAGTTGTCGCGCAGCATCAGTGAAGCCTACGATGTTGTCAAACAACTCAGTAGGTTTTAAGCAACAGCCAAAATATTAGATGTAATCTATCCGTATCTATATATGCATTTACACTAGCTTACAGATACAGTACGCCTTCTCCTTTCCATGAGCATTTCAACACAACAGGAGTTTCTCCACACGAGTCCATCAGTAGCGCATTAGCAGCTAAAGCAGCTCAGCTCAAAACAACTGAGCAGAAAAAGCGCACACATACCCCCAAATGACATAGTTAGTCTTGACATTTTTTGGCCAGGAGAATTCTCCGAAAATAACTTCATCTCCTTTTGCAACGATCTCCTTTTTCTGGATATTGTACTGGCGAAGCACACTCAACACGTCCGCCATGATCGCGCCTCCTCATTACGAGTGTTTTATTTAAGACCCCGCAACTTCTCAGCACAGGACTGCTACGAATATTGCCTATGTAAAATTAATGCATTTATAAGCTTGATAATCTTATTTGTTGAACTTCGACCGCAATAGGGACAATAGATGGTGACTCAGTAAATTGATTATTCACAAGCGAATAGGACTTATGTATCAAAAAGTATTTAAGAATCGCATGCACAGGTCAGGCAAATCCGGGGCATCTAAATCGAACAGCCTCTACCAATAAAATAAAATAAATTCATTTTTTTAGGTTTCATTACATTAATACAAACACAAACTCAATTTCAGAGAACTTCAGAAAGACCTTAATAACTTTGAGTCAATAAAATGTATATTTTATATAAGCCGTGAAGACTGCCTTTGCTTTATTCATTCATTGTATCTCTTGCATTAAGGTGATTGTTTGTAATGTGTCAAGTCTCTCTTTAGTAGTTCAGATCCTAATTGTCTTCTATTCTATATTTTGTCATTTTTAGCCTTTCAAGTTTTCTAAAATGTATTGACACTGGCAACTAACATAGTATCTGCTACTAACTCGATCACAACATGATTGATTAATGTTAAATTATATAGTCTGAATATCAACTTTTCAGATAGAATTAAAAAGCATCACAGACAAATTACTCTCAAATGGCTCTTTATTAATTCATAATTAGTGTGTTATAAAAAGGAAAAAAACCTTTTTAGACAATCTAATTGGCAAGAGGAAAATTTTGGCTTTAAAGACATATGCTTTCCGTTTTCTATTATTTTATAGTGTTGTGCTAATAAACACTATAAGGTCACCTTATGATATTAAATGTATTGAATATTAAATGTATTAAATGCAAACAAAAATTATAAATAAACTTTGGTAACTTGCTATCCTTTACTAAATCAACAAATTTAATAAAACCATAGCAAATGAATTTCTATTTGTATCCTCAATTTTTAACATCCAAAGTCTTTCATTATTTGTCATACTTATTTATCCCAAGAGGTCTACATCTAAACGAACATAATAGTATTACACAAATAGAACAAAAGGTACATTCAGTTTTACATCTCAAATGTAACAGGTAGTAACTGTCTACAGACATTTTAGTGTTTGTTAGTTTGTGCCTACATTTCCTTTACATAATTATTATAGCAGCGTTAGCAAACTTAAAACCTTAATTTGACCTTACAAAGAGCAACAGAAAATGCAAAAAGGAAACTTTCTACACATAAATGAATCTAGAAGCAAGATCTATTTACAATGGATTCAATGCATTTACCTCTTTTTCTCTCAAATTTGGAATATCTGTATATGTTTGTGTACATATATTAAGTTTAAAAGTGCACTACAGTTAACTGTAAAATATTAATTTAAGTCTTAAATAGACTGAAATGTGAAGCCTCTCTTCTATCATACAAAGTAGTTATTTGTGTTCATATGTCAAATATCAAGTTATTGGACCACAAAAACAAGAGGTATTTTAACATTAAACATTGTTTACACAACACTTATTTCAACTAAAAAAGGAAACTTTTTATGCATTTTGGTCATTCATTTGGTCAATGAAAATGAAACTTTTGAAAACAGGTTTCAAAGTGAAAGTTTTTGAAAACTGCACCAATGCGAATTTATGAAAACAGTGATGTCATGCATATGCGTATTGTGTTTATGGGTGTGTACTATTTCTTTACAAAGTGACAGGGGTCTGTATGAATGGGGACCATTTCGACAATGTTGTCGCCTGTACACAAAAAACGCAAAGGAAAAACGTTCCCATTTTTAGTACATCGTTGTCGTGTAAACAGGCTACATGGATATTTGAGTGGAAGAGCTATCGGTGCACTTTCAGCTCAAAGTGTAATATGATATTATTATATATAATATTATAATATAACAACTCATTACACAGAACAAATCATGAAGGAAGACCACGCAATGAGCAAGGCCTCTAAAAAATAGAACATTACTTCCAATGAAGGTCAGTGATACACATGAGCTTATAACTTAAAAACTGTGTAAAAGACATTAAAGAAGCAAACATTTCATTAGACCAGGTTTAAAAAACATAGCTATACTGAATAAAGATCAGTTACTTCATTAATTTTCTCCCCTGTTTTCCCCTTCAACTACAGTAATCCAGCCTGCTGGATATTGAATTACACTAGGACTTGATTCCAGGCTGTATAGACAAACGGCATGATTATCTAATTAATATGCAAAAACTGCATGTTGATGTGGGGTGCATCAATGTCTTCTTGTCGTTCAGAAAACTGGCTGCATGCTACAAACCCTAAAAGATTTTAAATGACATCAAGTGCGAAGTTACGGATGACATCGACTGCTTGCGAGTCAAAGCCGCAGATGTCCAGCATGCCACGGTCTTCAGGGTCAGCGATGGACAGCGAGTTGGAAATCATTCCACACACAATCAGCTTGGAAAATAAACCACTTTTCTAAAAAAAAGAAAACACAAACATGACATTTTTTTTCTTTAAAATGATGAACATCCTATCGCTATTACCAAACCATACTAAAACGAGGACTGTCAATTGATTTAAAAATGTAATTATCACATGATAAGCCAATTAATCTAATTGTAGATTGATTGTATAGACCATTTCACAAGATGTAAACAACACTGGTCCAGAAGCACTTCCTGTTTCAGTTTGTAACTGTTTTCTTTATTTCACATGTAAAGAAAACATCTTAAAGATGCTTGTTTAACTTTTTGATTCAGTTTTAAATGTTCTGTCGGTTGTATTTTATCCCAGCTTTTATGTAGTGTTAAAAAACTGAAACAGGAAGTGCTTCTGGACCAGTGTTGTTTACATCTTGTGAAATGGTCTATACAGTTCAACAAGGTGCTGAAAGCATTTATTAGAAATGTTGGCCCATATTGATAGGATGGCATCTTGCATTTGATGGAGATTTGTAGGATGCACATCCAGGGCACGAAGCTTCCGTTCCCCCACATCCCAAAGATGCTCTATTGGATTGAGTTCTGGGGCCTCATGTATAAAACTTTGCTTAGATTTCATCCTTAAAGTGTGCGTACGCACATAAGGCAGACTTTGCGTACGCACAAAAGTTTTCAGATTTATAAAACCGTTCGTACGCCAGAATCTGCGCAGAATTCACTTTATAAATCCCAGTCAGCGGGAGATTGTGCGTCTCCTCCCCGAAATAACCATATATGGAGATTACAACGCCTAGTTTAAATATGCATATCCTCATCTGCATATCATTTGCATATGATTATTCATCCACGTGATACCAAGTTTAACGGTACAAGACGTTAGGAAAATATGAAATGCGGATGTGCCGTCACATTATTACAAAAAGTAGCCTTTTTTAGTAGCCTATATCCTTGCCTTGTTTTTGAATGAATAAATCAAATAGTGTTAAATACATTTCAGAGAAAGTTTTTCTCAATCTTTTCCACTGGCCAAATAGTATTTTTAATTGATTTATATTTTAATGGAAAGAGATAGACATGGTTGTGCATTATTTGCACGAAACAGTTTTCTCAGACAATCTCTACTTAAAACATTAAAACACAGCATGCCAGAAGAAAAGTGTTCAAAAGCAATGCATCCACAACAAATAGGTCTATTTCTATTTATTGAATATATATATATATATTGTAACTTCTCAGTAATGATTGCATGTAGAGTTTAACTCCATTAATGAGAATGGCATATTTAATCTAAATGTTTATATCAGAAGTAAAACATAGTTTAAACCATTTTCTTATTTATTTAAACTGTTATTGTGAATATGGACTGTATTTATGATTTGGACTCATAATGAAGATTTATGGTTTTACTCCATCTGCCGTTAGATTATAGGCTATATTATATGTGTGTCAGTTAGTTTCACCAAACGGCCCAACGCGCGTGCTGGCGCGGTCATTTAAGAAGGGATGAATGTTTGCTTCAAGTGATGATAGGTTTGTGAAATTATATTTGTATTATCTTTCTGTAGATGTATAATTTTCTTTAGATTCTCTGTCTAATAGTAAGCAAAAAGACATCTGACTCCAGATCACCATCGGTGTCGCCAAAACCCATAATCTTCTAAAAGAGTGCGTACGCACGGTCAAGAGCATCCTTACGGTGCGCACTTATTTACGGCAAGTTTATTTTTAATAAATCCCGATGTGCGCGTGGAAAAATGCGTACGCATATTTCTATCCCCATTTTGTGCGTACGCAACGTTTATACATGAGGCCCCTGGTGTCTGTGCGGTTCTTTTAAACTTTCCATTCATCAAAAGAATCCTGGATAAAATGTATCACGGTTTCCACAAAAATATTAAGCAGCACGACTGTTTCCAACACTGAAACACTCCAATGTTTCGTGAGCAGCAAATCAGAATATTAGAAATTATATTAAAATACAAAACAAACATAATAAAAATGTGTATTAATTGCACTAAATTTGTGTTACATAGACAGCCTTGTTAAAACAAAGTACAGACAGCAAAAAGTATAACAGTGTAATAAGGTAAAAACACATTGCTTCTACATTCCCTTTTAAGTTGCACTCACTTGTCTATACTTCTTCAGTGTGTCTGCTGGATTTTCCCTCCCAAGGGTTTGATTATTGGTGAAAATGATGAAGACATCTACAGTTTTCTCATTCTCTGAGGCCCAAGTAATGGGTAAGGCACAGTCTGTACTGCCACCAGGAGTCTAGAGAGAAGTCACATGTAGGTTATGATTCCAGATGTAGTAGATGTAATCATTTGTTGTATAGCATGAAATGTTTTCTCAAGATGTTCTTACCTGGATGAGTTGTGCTGCTACTTGCATAAGTGTCATATCAGAAGAGACAGTGCAGGGAAGAACACTTCCTTCAGAGAAAACCACAATCTGTGCGTCTAGTTCCGTTTGTGCAATTACCTGCAAATAAAAAGGGAACCATTATATATATTTGGTACACTGTAAAAAAAAAAAAATCATGATACAGTATGTTCACAACATTTTATCTGTTGTGGTTCAGATAACATGATATTTTGAGTCTGTATTTTTTAAAACAATCATTGTATTAATTAATGTCATTTTTAATTTCAATGAACTCAAATTTTTAAGGCAACCAGGTTCATATTTTGATATTTTTATTTTAAGCTTATACTTTATACTTTTTTTATTAAGTAAAAATGACAACCTTCAGGTAATGCTTCAAGTCTCTCTTTGCTGTTAATTTGTTTTTACTGATTTTTATAAAGTAAACATAAGAATAACTTTTATATTGTAAGCAATATTTCAAGATGAACATATACTGGACAAAAGAAACTTAGGTTTACTTGATTATCCATAAACCATTCAAAGAAAACTTAATGTTAAAATAAGAGATACAGAAACATTTATCTGTCAATCATAATTGTAATGTATTACAATATATGTTTCACCACCCACAATTAAAAATACAGAGCTTTGATCATAAAACGAAACATTTAAATATCATATGATCTTACTAAGACATATTATAGACAAATATCGAGTCACAGCTGATATCTATATGCATTGTATGCAAGTAGCCAGCTTTAAAGTTATAAAGATTTCTTTGATTTATAAGTTTTCAGAATTTTTTGGCCATTTAAAATATCAGCAACTGCACCAAATTGCATATTTTTTACTCAGCTTGGGATTTATATTGTCCATATTGTCCTATATCATACAATATGGCCTGAAATTTTGCACATGCAAAAATAATTTTTAGAATTCGTTTTATATTTGGTCTTAAACGTTCAATAATCATGTTAAATTTTTTAAAAATATATAATTTTTTGATTATACAGGGTTAAAGGTGCATCTGCTAAATGTTCGTTTTGTCTTGTCTTGTTTTGTCCACTTTTCGAAATAAACTAGCATGCAGAGCTGTCCCGAATCAACTAAAAGTCACAAATGTCTTGACTTAATTGGGTTACAAACCCAGTTAAGTCAAGACTTTTGTGACTTTTAGTTGATTGGTTGGATATAATCAATATTTCACCTTCTTAAAGTGTCTAAAATTTCTTTACATGGCTCTTATATGAGAGCAGTGCACTGGAGAGGCAATTCATTGATGTTTACAAGACTAGATTGTCCCGTCAGAAAAGGAATATGCAAGGAATGTGAAATATGTGCGGGCGGACCTCAGCAGCCACACACACTTCCTCCAAGGACAAAATATTAGCTTAAAATATGACTTAAAGTTCTTTACAGACGTCACACAGTTTGCAGTGGTGTAGTCTTACCATGCACATTGCCGCTGCTACTGCCACAGTGCTGATGGAGCTGCCGTGAGTCACGCTGCTCAGAGAAGAACTTACGTCAACGGCCACCAAAAAGCGCTTGCCTGTGGCCTCCACGGTCTGGAGACATAAAGAGTCACAGGTTAAAGGCATAGTTCACCCAAAAATAAAAAATCTGTCATTATTTACTCACCCTCATGTTGTTGTCTCAACTTGTATGAGTTTCTTTCTTCTGCTGAACACAAAAGAAGATATTTTGAAGAATATAGGTAACCAACTTCCATAGTATCTTATTTCCATCCTATGGAAGTCAATGGGGTTCATCAACTGTTTGGTTACCAACATTCTTCAAAATATCTTCTTTTGTGTTCAGCAGAAGACAGAAACAACATGAGGATGAGTCAATGACAGAATTTTCATTTTTGGGTGAACTATCCCTTTATCATAATTTGATTTCTACAGTATCTCGAAAACAAATGTGTTACATCAAAGCGTCACTCACTGAAATAGTTTTGCAGAAGGCGCAGCCCAGGGCTTGAACAATGTCTCCGTCCGGCACCCATTTCAGTTTGCTACGCTTCCCATGACCTCTCTTATAGTTTTCAGATGCCACAAGAATGTTGAATGGCTGTGTTTTTGCCTGAAATTGCACACACATTGAACATTTACATGTAGAAATGTATATTTTATTACATTCAAGTGTTTGGACTTTTTTTATTTTACTTTATTTCAAATGTATGAATTAGAGCTGCACGATTAATCGTTTAAAAGATCGCGATCTCTATTCAAACACCCACGCGATCTCATTCCCAAATAACAACGACTCTGCTATATCTATGAAACCTTTGATAAGATCACCCCTGAACTTTCAAATCTGCGTTCGAGTTGCCGCTGATCCAGAGAGAGCGGTTATTATGTTTAGGTATGAAACAGCTTCACAAACGGTCTTTTCAACCACACATTATTTTTATTTCAATTTTACAATAATTAAGATTATCACATACGCACTGTGATAAAATGGAGTGGAGTTAAAAGCCAAAGTCATTGAATCATTCATTCAAGAGATCTGTTAAAAAATGATGATTCTTCCATTAATGAAACAAATTAAGTATTTATAGTAAGTCATTGAATCATTCATTTAAACCAAATGTATGTATGTATGTATGTATATATATATATATATATATATGTGTATATATAAATACACACACACACACACACACACACACACACATATATATATATATAATAAAAAGTTTTAAATTAAAATTATAGCAACTAACACTGTCAGAACCTCTAGTAAATGTATGTTATAATATTTTATTTAGTTTCTATTTTATTTAGATCAAGAATCGTGATCTTGTTTAACACAAAAAAATGTGATCCTCAATAATCCAGAATTGTGCAGCTCTAGTATCAGTATAGTATAGAGTCAATAAATTAGACGTTAAACACATATTATTTAACAGCAAAACATTTCACAAAAATAAGTTCGCAGTGTTTATGATTATAAAACAATACATTTATTTTTATTACTATAATGTTAATAGTTAATGTGATGAACTACACCTGTGGTTACTCTGTTAGGACACCTGTGAGAACTTGCTGACTTCATACATCCACTAAAAATCACCAAAACACCAGTTAATTCAAAGTCATTGGAAACTGGCTCCGAAAACTTAGTTCTGATTTGCTTACAGGTGCCACATAGCTTGATTTTTGCAATATAATGCAAAGACATTCATGATTTTAAGGGTTCCAATGCTACAGTACACATACAATAAACAAAACCCTCTTTTAATTTCTTTTGTAAAGATGTTAAAATATTCCATGACTCTTTGAATTCAACTCCTAGAAATAAGAAGTGCATAAAAACATCTCAAATTTTGGAAAAAAATAGTTTGTAGAATTTAATGTTTTACTCTGTACAATGTAATATCTGTTATGAGTTTTCCCCATTATGTGTTTGTCTTATTTTTGTTGTAAAATGTCATTATAATAAGCTTTTGTAAAAGTTGAAAAAAAATAAATAAATACATAGAATAAACGATAAGATTTCAAAATAAATGAACTAAGGAGCATTACTGGATGCTGCTATTGTCTTAAAATGATGTTGTTGTTGTTGTTGTAACCTGACCTTTTTCAGTGCAGTCTCATCCTGAATCCTTTCACAAACAGCTGCAACATCCGGACTTCCTGGTGCCAGAACCTTGTCTGCTGTCAACTTACCCAAATGCTTCAATAAAACAACCACTGGCATCTCCTTTAGCAATGCTTTCCATACCTGAAAGCAACCAATAACAACACTGTCATCCTTCAAGACCTTTCAGCCTCGTGAGCGCTCGGCATGTGCATTCACTGCCAAGAAAACTGCATTTACAGTTTAATTTCTGTAGTTTATCTTTATACTTTGAATTTCTATGCTCAAACTAGGGCTGTCACAACCAGTGATGGGGATAACTTTTACTAGTAAAGTAAAGCATTACTTTTAAATGTAAAACAAAATAACTGAGTTACTTTTCAAGTAGCACAAGTTACTTTGCTTTCCCATCTATTGACTGACATGTTGAGAGAGAAATCAGGTGCATTGCGAACACATGATGGATGTTGTAGTTCTACACTAAATGTAAGCATTTACTTAGCTTTTAATTAGCACAAAAACACATTCCATATTGCTCAAGAACTATGAATACTATGCAAACCTCCAATAACTAAATATGTTAAATAAGACTGATATACTTTATGCATTTAATCTCACTTTATTAACCAGTGTCTTTGCTGCTGACCTTATATGATCCAATTCAACCATACTAATAAGAGAAACACATTTGTGTTTTATTATATTGCTGTAAGTAACTTTCCCCAAACACTGGTCACAAAACAAAAATTTCAGTTAGTTGATACCAATAAAATGACACAATGCTTGACACCAATTTCAATACCACTGCAATATTTGATAGCAACTAACATATTTATTTAAAAAAATAATATATATATATATATACACACACACACACACACACACACACACACACACACACACACACATATATATATATATATATATATATATATATTTTTTTTTATTTAAAATAAAATGTGGTTCAGACCTCTTTGGACTTCAGGTGGTTGGTCAGAACATGCTCTTTTTCCAGCATCTGCTCCTCAATAAGATGAACAAGCTCATGCTCATCAGTCGAGTGTTTGGCTTTCTCCACAGCTTCCAGATATCCAAAAACCTTCTGCAGATCATCGGAGATCTCTTTATCACCATACGCTTCCTGAACCCCTTTCCATCCTTTTGTGATGTATTTGCAAACCAGAGCAACAGCTGTAGAGAACAAGAACACATACTCATCTCGCCTCATGTGACTTTTGACACAAGAAGCATTTTTGCAGTTTACTATAAAACATTTAGTTCTGACTATAAATCCTCTTTTCATAGCTGAAATAAAAAAAGCTGAAGTAAATGCAACAACAAAAAACATCTGTGATTAGTTAATACTACCACCTACCGTTAATACTAATAAACAATATTACTTCTAATCTAATTACATTATATGATATGAAAGTTACATCATTGGATTTTTATCAATTGTTTTATTATCATTTATCATTTTTTAAAGGGATAGTTCACTTTGAAATTAATTTTTGGTGTGTTTTAGCTTACCTCAAGGGCATCCAAGATGTTGGTGTCTTTGTTTCCGCAGTATTTTCAATTTTGATATTTTTAGGTTGAAAATAGACACTGATACACAAAAACGGTCATATAAAACAATATAACAATATAAATACCGTTTGTTTTCTCACACAAACCGCTCGTTTTGTGTCTTAGGCCATCAACGTGTACTTACATTTACAAGTCATTAAATCCAAATGTTTAATTTGGACTTCTCTGTGTATGCTCTTTGAGGTGGTGACCATAGACCTCCATTATATGACTGACAGACAAGAACGGTTTGACCTAAAAATATCAAAATTGAAACTACTGCGGAAACAAAGACACCTACATCTTGGATGCCCTTTACGTAAGCTAAAACATACCAAAATTAATTTCAAAGTGAACTATCACGATTTATTTATAAAATAATAACCTTTTCAAATAATTTATAATGTATTTTGATACTCTATAATTTTACACATCTATTTTATCTATATTACGGCAGTTGAAATCATTGAACAGACATTACAAAAAGTGCCTTTAGACGTCAGTATATGGTTTATTTCCATAGTATTAAACAAACCCATAGCTGTCCACAGCAAACCATTTTGCAAGAACTCACCGTCATTGGTTGGCTTCATGTGGGACAGCCTGAGGAGGTCCTGGTGGGACCAGCCTGCCCTGTGCTTGCACTTGGTCACGGCCCGCGCCAGGCTCATACCGTCCTGGCTGTTGTACCAATCAGTCACGGCCCTCCGCAGAGCTCGTCCCCACATCCCAGAGCCCTCTTTCAGATCTTTCTTATACTGCACAAATGTGAAGAGCTGCTCGGGCGTGCGACACAGTTCCTTCAGCGCTCGTAAGGCGGCCTGCCTGGTCTTGCAGTCTGCATGATGTGAGCAGACAGCCAGGGCGAAGAGGCTGGGGTTGGGACGGACAGCGCGGCCCTCCAGATTCAGGCGTCTGATCTCCTCAATCACCTCACAGCCTCGCCCCCCCTCGATGAACTGCATCAGGGACAGGGCGTTCTCCATACCCAGAGGACACTGTTTAGTGCTGTATGTGGCGCTCTCAGAGCCGTAACAGAGGAAGCGGCGCAGACACACTCTGCCCGATGAGTTCAGCACCTGTTCATTAACAACTGGAAGAGATGCTGGATCCATAATTAACCGTCCTTCAGTCCTAAAGACAGATCACAGAGGTTAACATTACACTGCTGCACAGAACATCAACACTCACTAGCCTGTTTGTAGACACATGGTTTGCTTTGTGAAAACATAATACCGAGGTTATTTTTAGGAGTACCATGTAAATACCATGGCACTCATGGATATGGTGTGCATGTGTGTGTTCTGGTAAACTCTATGGGGACAACATGACCAAATATCCCCACAAAGATGGCAATATCCTAAAACCTTTATTTTTTGGTCCCCAAGTAGGAAAACAGCTTCTAAATCGAGTGATGTTTTTTTGAAAATGTAAAAAATGCAGAACGTGAAAAAAATAAAACATGAAAACACTACGTGTATGCGTGTACGCTACATATATGTATACAATTATATACAATCACATGTTATATAAAATCACGTTATACAATAACACTTTATTTTACAGTGTCCTTGTAACATGTTCTTAGAAATAACAGTAAATTATTTATAATTACATGCAACTAACCCTCAACCAAATCCTAATCCTACATTAAGTAACGTTGACTGGTATTCCGGACGGCTGAAAAATTCTACTCGCTGTGTTTCGGACAGGTAGAAGGAGTCATTTCTAATATATAACGCATACATTTTAACAACTATAAGCTGGGTTAGTCGCAAGCAAAAGAGGATGAGGCAAAGAAGACATAAGATGAAATGACCATGAAGTGTCTATTTATAGAATTTGCGGAAACGGTCTAGTGTCCGGAATACCGTGATGTCTACGTTACATGTAACGTTTCGTTAGTTACTTAATATTACGTTACTCAATACTTAAATATATTATTACTCTGTAACAATGACACCTTAAAATAAAGTGTAACCAAATAAACAGTAATGATTAAATGACTTTTGAAGTCCAACTTGAGGTAATGTACATCTAAGTACACTTCACTGTAGCTTTTAACATATGAATTAACCACTGTATATTTTAAAGGCTCGGTTTTTAAAACGTTGGGATTGTGCACGTTATTTTGTTTTGGCAGCTTTATGAGGATCAGTTCACTAGCGGCTTTAATCCTATTGCTAGCCATGTTAGCCAGGGCGAGGAAAACCTCCTCAAAATACACTCATCCAGTCAATAAAGTTCAGATTGAACAGCTCCATCACACCCATACTAAGTTACATCACTGATAAACAACATGACGACCACAACCTTTAAATCACACACACATGATGAAGAATGGAGGGGTAAACGAAGATCAGTTAGCCCAATGCTACATACATCTCTCTACACAAACTATTTATCTGCATAAACAAATACCTCAAAATCCTGCGGGAAAATTTGTAATAACTCCAAAAGCTCTCTACCTGCTGTTATCTACAGCCAAAGTCTCTAACGTTAGATCTTCCCGAGAGTTACGGCTCCTCTCTTAAAATCAGACTCAAGGAAGATGAGAGAAGAGTGAAGATTCCTGACTGGTCTCTGGTCTCAATACAATGGCCGTGTCTCAAAACCTAGTGACCTTCCTAGCTAGACATCATTGGTGAGTATTGGGATGCGACCTGCGTGCTAATTTAGACTGGGGACGCGCCTATGAATGCCTTTAAACGCTATTAGGCAGCTCACTAGGATTTGAGATACAGTACAAGAACGTTCCAACCATTGCAAAAGTTTTGTGAGATTTGCTTTCTATTCAATGGCATGATTTCCATTTATGAATGTGAAATAAAAACGTAAAAAGATTTGCAATACTTATGTTATTTATTTCTTTAAAATGTGTAACTTTAGTAATTTCTTTTTATTTTATTCACTTCACGAATTTTATATTTTATACTTCTTAATTTATATATATATATATATATATATATATATATATATATATATATATATATATATATATATATATATATATATAATATACATGAAATACATTTAAATATATATATATTAATAGCATCAATGTCGCGCCTGAAACGCATCATCACTGCTCGGGCTGCGGAGCGTCTCTATCTAATTATGGGGCTCCCAAGATGGCAGCGTTGTAGGAGGACGTGTGCTTGTCGCTCTGCGAGCAACTTCGAAGGGTTTATGATATTACTGCCATTTTTTTAAATAATTTGATGACAGAACCTTAAGGAAGAAGAAGATAAAATAAAAGGAAAAGGGAAAAACGATCATATAGCAAGACGTACTTAATTGTAGGCTACACGAATGCCCAAGTCTAAAAAGAAAAAGAAGATCTCTGAAAGGTTAACGATTTCCCAATTCGTGTCACTAAACATGGAAGAAGATAACAAGTCTGAAGGGTCGGCAGCCCAGAATCCTTTGAGTGGAGACGAAGCGTGCTGGTATGAAGCCACCCCCGAGCCATTGTCAGACACCGATTTATTTCCCATTTTGGCGGCGGAGACGCCAGAAAAGCCTGCCAAGAAAAGGATTCGTGAATCTCAATCAGGTGGGCGAAACTGGGAATCGGCTAATGCTGAACTCATGGAGGCAATACGGGCCATGGCCAGCAAGCAGGATGAAACACTCCGGAGAGTCTCTGCTATAGGCATAACTACCGAAACTACTTCCAAACGGGTTGAGGAGCTGACGACAACTGTCAAACAATTGTCATTGGATGTTCAACAACACAAGCAAACACTGGAGATAATGAAAGTTGCCAATACAAAGCTCCAAGAAGAAAATAAGCACCTGAGAGAAGCTGTTGCTGAGTGTCAACGATATAGCAGAAGGTGGTCGCTTAAGATTCACGGCGTAAAGGAATCAAGAGATGAAGACATCAGAGGCAAGATATTCGACATCCTTGGGAAAATGGCTCCAAAGCTTCGTGATGACTTCAAACAAGGCATTGACATCGTCCATCGCGTGGGGAAACTGAGAGATGACGGCGCTGCGAGATCAACTATAGTTTTGTTTGCCTTGCGTCGTCTTCGTGATGCCGTGTGGAAAGAAGCTAAAAACTCTCAGTACTTGCAAGAGAATCGTCTCAGGATTACCGAAGCTCTTTCTCCGGAGGACAGAGTGGCTCGGGAGAAGCTCTGGCCTCTGATCAAGAAGGCGCGTGATGAAGGGAAAAAGGCTTCATTCCGTGGCGCTTCGGCTGTCATCAATGGAAAAGTTTTTAACTGTCCAGAATAGCCTCTTTGGCTGAGCATCTTCTCTTACCAAAGGTATTAAAGTGCACTTAAGCCCACTGTTCATGTGGCATTTTTGGAGAATAACTTCAAATCGTCTATTTGGTGTTGGAAATTTAATGTGACTTAGGCCTATGTAGCCAGGCTACCATGTTGTTTAGACTTGGATTAATCTTCCTTTTGTTGTAGCCATAAGCACTAATGCTACCTTAACAGATTTAACTTTTTCTTTTCTTTTCATACTAATATAAACGATCTCCTTGTTAGACCTTAAATGAGATCATGTTAGTTTTTTATTCGTGCAGCCGTCCTAACGTTCTTGATTCTAATTTGACGGCTGTAGGCTACTACAAGGTTCTTGCTGTTTTAAGGCAGGTTATCATCACCTTCTTGTAAGGTCTTTGCATACTTTTTGCGTTCAATAGCACCTTCAGGTAATTTCTTTTCTATATATTTGTTCTTTTATGGATTTTTTGTTTAAACGTCTTAACGTCTTGTCTTTAAATGTGAGAGGTATTCGGGACTTAACAAAGAGGAAAGCATTATTTTTATTTTGTAAAAGGTCTGAAGCTGACTTGATTTTATTACAGGAAACGCACTCTTGTGACTCTGATACAGGGTTCTGGAAAGCTCAATGGGGTAATGTCGCTTACTTTAGTCACGGTTCTAACCATTCTGCAGGTGTTTCAATCCTTGTGCACGGTTTCAAGGGGGATATTTTGGAAGTTGTGCCCTCTAGTGACGGAAGATGGATAATAATAATAGTCAAGCAGGACAATATAGTTTTCATAGTTTGCAATGTATATGGTTTTAATTCACACTGTGACAATAAAAACCTTTTTAACTCCATTACTGGCAAGCTAAGGGATTTAAAAGGAAAATACGCAAATGCCTTTTTAATCCTTTCGGGGGATTTCAATGAATGTCCAAACGAAATAGAGGATAGATACCCACCTAGAGCGGCTCGATCCTCCCAGGGAACCGATTTAATCTCTTCTCTGTGCTCAGATCTATCCTTAACTGATGCTTGGCGTTTTTTTAACCCAGACATCCTAGATTTCACCTGGAGTAATAGATCTCTTACTTTGAAGTCGAGAATTGATTTATTTTTAGTTTCTTCTTCTGCTCTTCAATTTGTTAATGAAGTTAAGCATGTTTATGCACCCCTTTCGGACCATAAGTTAATTATTTTGAAACTAGGCTCCCTCGACCAGCAATCGGGCTTGAGAGGTTATTGGAAGTTTAACAATACTCTTTTGAGTGACGACTCTTTTAATAATTCTGTTAAGCTTCTAGCAAAAGAGATCTTCGAGTTTGACATTAATAATGAACATAAGAAAAAGTGGGAGTACTTCAAGTATAAAGTTAGACAATTGGCTATAAAAAGATCTAAGGAAATAAAGAAAGAAAAATATAATTCTGAACATGTCTTGATGAATAAATTAACTCATTTAATGTCAAAAGGAAATATTAACCCCGAAGAAGGAATTGAAATAAAAGCCATTCAAATTCAGATAGACCAAATATATACAGAAATGGCAAAGGGTGCATTTATTAGGTCAAGGGCTAAGTGGCTGGAAGAGGGTGAAAAGAACACCAATTATTTTTTTGCTTTAGAAAAAAGGAATGCTAAAAGAAATTCTGTAACTGAGCTCTACATTGATGGCACCCTCTCTAAGGATCTTACTCTCATTTCTAAATTTGTTAGCTCGTTTTATGGTAATTTATATCAATCTAATTTTAACAGAGAAGAAAGTGTAAGTTTTGTTGAAAAAATTCAACACAGTATCCCTATTATTAGTGAAGGTTATAAAGCTTCCTGTGATGCTGATCTTTCTTTAAATGAAGTTAAAAATTCTTTGTTTGCTATGAAGAAAGGTAAATCTCCCGGGATAGATGGGCTAGGAGCAGAGTTCTATATCCATTTCTGGGAGCTTATTCAACTTCCTTTAATGCACATGTATAGGGAGTGTATTGATCAAGGGGAAATGACCACAACAATGAAGCAAGGCATTATTTCTTTAATCCCGAAACCTGGTAAAGACCCTCACTTAATCGATAACTGGCGTCCAATCACATTATTAACTATAGATTATAAAATTCTGGCCTCTGTATATGCAAATAGATTAAAATCTGATTTAAATTCAATAATTGCAGAAACTCAAACGGGCTTCATGAAAAACCGCCACATTAGCAATAATATAAGACTCGTTTTAGACTTGCTTGACTATGCTGACAATATTGATTCTGACGCCTTCGCTTTGTTTCTTGATTTTTACAAAGCGTTCGATACAATCGAACACCCTTTTTTAATACAAGCCATCAAAGCATTTGGTTTTGGAAACCGTTTCGTCGACATTGTCAGTATGTTTTATAAAGATATAAACAGTTCTGTTATCATTAATCAAAATACTTCTCCACGATTTCAGATTAATAGGGGGGTTAGACAGGGGTGCAACATTTCTCCCTTTTTATTTATCTTAGTAACTGAACTACTAGCTATACACTTAGTAAAGGAAGTACATTTTGAAGGAATAAAGATTTTTGGAAAGGAAATAAAGATCTCACAGCTGGCGGACGACACCACCATTTTTTTAAGCAATAAGGACCAGTTAAGCATTGTCTTTGAACTGGTGGAGAAATTCTCTTCTGCGTCTGGTTTAAGGCTTAATCGTTCCAAGTGTGAGCTGTTGCCTCTTCATTGTTGTGGTGACTCCGCTATTGATAACATTCCAGTTAAACAGACTGTAAAATATTTAGGTATACATGTATGTAAAAATATTATAGTTAGACAGGACTTAAATTTTTCGAATAGAATACAGAAAACCAAATCAATATTCAATTGCTGGTTACAAAGAGACTTATCTGTTTTAGGTAGAGTATTACTCTCCAAAGCAGAAGGCCTTTCTCGCTTTGTTTATCCGTCCTTGTCTCTTTTTGTAAAGGACTCAATTGCCAATCAAGTCAACAAGACTTTCTTAGATTTCATTTGGAAGAACAAGTCTCAGAGGCTTAAAAAAAATGTTCTCTCTAACCCTAAAGAAAAGGGAGGTCTAGAGATTTTGGATTTTATAGATGTAGTCAATACATTCAAAGTTAACTGGTTAAAAAGGTGCATTCAAAATCCTGATTCGATTTTTTTCTTTATTCCAAATTTTATTTTTAATAAACTGGGTGGGCTTTCGTTTCTTTTAAGGTGTAATTTTCTGCCAAATAAATTACCTATCAAATTGTCCAACTTCCACCAACAGTCCCTCTTGGCCTGGAAATTATCTTTCAGTCACAACTTCTCACCACACAAATCTCTTCTTTGGAGCAACAGCGACATTCTTATTAGGAATAAATCAGTATTCTTCCCTAAGTGGTTCGATAGAGGTATTAACCATATACTCTGCTTATTTGATGATTCTGGCTCCATGCTCTCTTATGAACAGTTTATGGTAGCTCACGATTTCCCAGTACCCTTTAAAGAATTTAAATCCATCACTGATGCCATCCCTAGTGGAATCAGACAATTAATGAAATATCATCTGAGCTATGGAAACAAAGATATCAGAGAGTTTTCTCTTATGTTGGATGGGGTAGAACTGTCTGATAAAAAGTGTAATAATAAACACATTCGCCGACATCTGCAAAAGTGTAACTCCATTGTTCCAAGGGGGATGTTTTATTGGAATTCCTTAATAAGTAATGTTAATTGGAAAAAAACATGGTTGATTCCTCACAAATATTGTATCTCTAATAAGGCTAAAGAGGTCCACTTTAAACTTTTACACAATATTTACCCTACAAATTGTTTTGTTGCCAAATTTCTAGACATTGACACATGTTGTACCTTTTGTAAACAGAGCACTGAAACCATTCCTCATTTATTTTTTAATTGTCCAGTTACCAAAAAATTTTGGGATGATTTAGGTATTCATTTTCTCCATTCTCGAAATATAACTCACTCTTTCACCCTGAAAGATATTATCTGTTACTCTTGTTTTCCACAAGATGGCACCCTGGAGTTTGTCATAAACTTTATAATTTTATATGCTAAGTTTTTTATACACAAACAGAAATTTAATAAGTCTTCCCTATATTTTAAGCACTTTATTTTGGAACTTAATTTGCTTCTTAAATCACACGAACTTGTGAAGAACAAGAAGAACAGAAAACTTGTTTCTCAATATTTTGACCTATTCCCCAATTCCTCTTAACATCCTTATTATTTTTCCTCTTTCATTTACTATGTATGTATGTTTCTTTTTGTTGTTGTTATCATTTTTTTTTTTTTTTTCTGTATTTGTTTTGTGTTTGTTTTTTTCTTGCTTCTGTTTTTGGTATGGTTTTGTCTGTACAAACGCTTGATTGTATATTGATGTTCTTCTTGTTTGTACTAGTTATTGTTATCAATAAAAAAAAAAAAAAAAAAAAAAAAAAAAAAAAAAAAAAAAAAAAAAAAAAAAAAAAAAAAAAAAATCTCTATCTAATTATTTCTATGATGAAAAGACAAAAAATTATTATATACGAACAGTGCAGAGTGAAAGAGATACTTCAGTTAAGCTGAAAAAAAAGTAAAATAACCAATTTAATTGGCTACAGACAAGAAAGACAAAGCTCGTTTTGCTTTGACTGAACGCTATCGTCACTAGGGGGCGCGATTTTGCAGCTTTTCTGTCGTTTTTTTTATTAAAAAACGGGGTTTTTCAAGGTCATCTCGAGCACACCGTGACCATGGAGCACTAATTTTTTGAAATCTGCCTTAGTTATTATTCACTACCATTAATAGATTAACAAACAATCACATTTTATAGCTATTACTGCTTTCCAATTCTGTAAACCAGATGTGAAGTCTCATATAGATAGCAGAAACTTAAATGTCTTAATAGTCCTGTAAGACACACAAGGGACGACACTCGTGAATATTAATTAGGCAAGACCATAGACTGTAAACATTTAGTAACCTTAGTAACTTATTGCTTAGTAACCTTCCTTAAACGTCCACTCACGAACCCTAATTAATATTCATGGACAAGACAGCTCCTTAGCTTTTTATATGCAATATGTACATTTCAGAACTTCACGGTTCAAATCCTCATGTATCAGAGCCTGCTGCTCCTGACACGTAAATAGAAATTCGCTCAAGCAAGCAGCACCGTTTCTCAATATGCCTTCTTGTCTGTACTTGTGTTCTTGTGGACTTGTAAAACGTCATCAGTCGCGGCCCAAGTACTGTCCCAATACACAAGTTTGCATTTAGGCTGCTGTTTCAAAACTGTCTCATAAAGGTTGAGAATGCCCAGGCTAAGAAATTGTATAACCGTTTAGTGACACTTCGGATGAGTTTAGTCCCTATATTTTCTTTTTCTTTTATTTATTTATTTATTTTTTAGTGTTTTGAGCTCCTTAAGTCTATTTGTTCTCCCTTGTCATGCGAACAGTGCAGAGGATGTCTTTTTGGATGATGTGCGGGAGGTGCATGGTTTGTAATACATTAAAAGGTAACTAAACACCAAAACAACTTTTTTAGTTAATGATCTGTAAGAATGGAGCTTCATAAATGCTGTTCATTGATTCGAGTACATTTTTTGACAATTGAGTATAAAGTGTTTTGATTTTCAAATATATGGTGTAAAAACGTCTGAGTGCTGCCCTCTTCAGGTTAAACGGAAAGCTCCTGCAGTAGGGGTACTTTCTGACGTAGGGAACTCTCAAACGCCACTCTGTCAAGCCCTTGCTTGGCAGCCCCTGGTATAAAAGCATCTGGTTATTTCTATTGTACATTTTGAGATTGTCATACGCTTCTTTGTTGGATTTCCTTATTGTTTGTTGTAATAAGAAAAAGTTCAATAAAAAAAAAAAATTCTCTTTAATTAGAAAAAAAAAAAAAAAAGTTTGCATTTAGGCAAGAACGGTTAAAAATCCCGGATGTGTTCTTGACACTTTACCGAGGATGCATCGGTTGGTAACTTGTGTGAACTTGATGGCAGAAAGGTCCGGGTATCGTTCCCATAATTAATTTCGGCATTCGCGGAAGGAGCGGGAAAGGCAGGTCAAAAGTTACCTGATTATTACCGAATATTACTGGCGTTATTTCCCGCCGTTGGCTAGTGATGTACATAAACAAACAAACAAAAGAAGCAGAATTAAAATGAGACAGGTGTTGCTTTATTGTTATGAATATACATTACATTGTAGTGTATGTAGTAGAGTAATCCCTTAGGCTTGGGCGATAAAGCCTGGCTGTATAATAATAATTCTCGTTATGTTTGTACTATTGCGCAATACCAGCAAGAACACATCGTCTCAAACTGTCAGCAGCATTCAGTGTGCTTGTCACCTCGTGAGTTTTTCCAAGAACAAATAGCAAGAGCTTTCTTCCCAAAAATACAAGTCCGTTCTTTGCATTCTTGTTTTTGAGAGAAACGGCTAAAATGTCCAATCATGCAACCCCAAACGATTGTGATTGGTTAGTTTTCTTCAACGTTGCGTAGAGTAACACGTGTCATGTTACACTGTTGCTCGCATCCCTGGCTGCTAGTACAGACTTTACATTTGTTTTGGCTAATTGTTGGTAAATACTGATATTTCTTAATGTGGTGTGAAAATGTACCCTTTGGTTACACAAATTATCCTTTGGATTTATTAGTGGATACATTGAATTTAAAATTAACCCACATGTAGGCTTATTTTATTGTGAGACAAGACCAGGCAGCATTAGACCATATTAGAGTAAAAAAAAAAAAAAAAATCACCAAAGCCTTTAAAAATTGTGTGAGTTTTAGTACCAAGTGTTTATTTGAGTTATATTGAGTTTATGTGCTTTATGCGGAACTTTTCACCCCTGCCGTTCAGTTACAATTTTTATTCTGCCAACCGTATTTTTTTGTTTGTTTTTTTACATGTTATATGATAATTAACACACACAAACAATATATAGACGCGTGTCGTTTACGAGCACTGTACATCTACTGTGTGACATTGACGCAGTCCAATCATAACAAGAACAAAAAAATGACGAGTCGTAAGCTCCGCCCCCTTGGACTTCCTTCTGTTCTGTATCATTTACCGGCTGCATTTCTCCGGGTAACAGCAGCATTGACTGGCTTCACGGAAACACCACCCATCTCAATTTGAAGTCCTGTTTCCGTTCATCTTTGTATTTGGACCATTTGGACGCGCTTCCTCATTCAGCAGCAGCCCAAGCTCAGTAACGTTAGCCGGAACCGTGGGGTTTATAGAGCAATGATCTCACCGGAGCTTAATTTTAATTTATTTTCGAGTGACCTTTCACTTTACCTTAAAAACCAAGTTAAAGTCGAGCTATTCGGCTCTGGGGTTGGACTATCATTAGTGCTCGGATTCAGCGCCGCCTATGCCTGCTACTACCTGATCTCTGTGGCCAAGGTAAGGCGACTGTACATTGGAGCCGGTAGGCTACCGTTCACATTGATTTACAAACGAATTTATGGCGTGATCCGGATGCTCTTGCACGTGACATATTGGGTCATATTTGTAGCGGATGTATATTTGCAGCTGTTGACTGGGTCAGTCAGTGCACGAGAACTGCCGGCCGGCTAATGATGTCATAATTCAATGGTCTGTTACGTCATTTTAGTCCTGTCACTGTCAGAATTCTCTGCACTCAATCCGCATAATGTAATCCTATACGTGTGCATAGCGCTATATTAATGGCATAATGAGCCTTGAAATATGTAGGCTCTTAAAGATTTAATCTGTAAGGAGAACTCATGTTCACTCTCTCGCCTTTTGAAAAATATGGCATGAAAATTGCCAGAAGAACATCCTTCCCTATTAGTTTTGAGGCAGTCACGTTGCGTAATATGTAACAATAATGCAATCCACTAGTGTTGTAATTTTCAAAACACTGATAAACTGTTATTACTACTATTATTATATAGTATTAAATAATAATGGACGATATGTTTAGAAGGACAAAAATGTCAATCAAAGCCCTTTGTATATAACAGATTAATGTATCTGAATTGTACACATACAAAAATGTATAATGTCAAATTATTTTGGCAAGTCGCTTGAGGCTTAAAAAGATAGTGCACCCAGAAATGAACATTCTGTCTTAATTTACTCACCCTCGTGTTTTTCCACACCTGCATGAATTTCATTTTTTTCAATTTCAAAAGAAGATATTTTGAAGAATGTTGATATACCAGTTGATGGACCCCATTGACTTCCAAAAATATCTTTGACAAAATATCTTCTTTTATGTTCAGCAGAAGTAATTCATGCAGGTTTGGAACAACTTGAGGGTGAGTAACTGATGGCAGAATTTTCATCTTTTGGGGATCTAACCCTTTAAGGTGCTAAAGTAAAGTGTCATGGAGTTTGAGTTTTTGTAGCATTTGTATGTCACAACTTTATTATATTAATTTTATAATTAAAACAAAATAAAACATTAATAATACTTAATAAAAAATGATATTATTATAGCCTATTGTTTTACTTATCTTATAATATAAAATTGTAATATAAATATGTATTGTATAATATGATTACAATTTATAACCATAATTGTTATTATACATATACTAAAAAGTAGTTTAAATTCTCCAATAAAAAAATGGATAAAAAAAACAATTATTAGTTATATATTTAAAACGTATTGGCTACTATTTTAAATTCCGAGATTTATAAAAAAATCAATCCCTTTGCTCTTTGTTTTGCAGAAACCCATACTGATAGCTGGAGGGAAAAAGTTCCATCAGTTCCTGAAAGACCAATGTCCCGTAGTCTTGGAGACGTACTACCCAACATTTTGGTGCTGGGAGAGTCGACTTCAAACGCTGCTCAGACCCTTCGTGACTGCGAAACCCTGGGTCAGCTACAGAAAGTGAGCACATTTCCCTCACAGTCGAAATGTATTTCATGATGTGAATGTGGACTCTACAAAGCCAATAGATGTGTACTAAGAAATGGACAATTATTGCTAATGGGTGGACTTGATATCAGTGGAAGTGGTTCTTAAGTGTTTCGGTCCTGGTTTAGGCAGGAATTGAAGATTTGCACTGAGCTTTGGTGATTCAAAATCAGTGCAGATTTCACATTTATGCTAAAGTTGCCACTGTTACTCCACTTGAAGATATAGTTTTGCCTTCTTTTACATATACAAGTGCCCTTAGATGATCAGAGAGCTTCTTTCTGCATTCATTTGCATGATTGTCTGGTGCAGTCAGAGAGGAGCTCTTATGTTCAGAGGACGTAGCAATATGAAAAGAGACAAAGAGAGTGTAGCAGCTTATACCAACCTTCCTGTTCGGATGATTACATGTAATAAGCATGCTTTGGTTGCATTTTGCTGAAATAAAACGACCGTAGAGGGTCATATATCACCCCATTATCAAAAGATAAAAGACATTTTTTCTGACAATCACAGTGCATTCAGTAAGTAAGTCAATAGTACTTAAATATATTTTAATATCATGCAAACATACATGAGACTCCAGCCTTAATATAAAACATGTAAATCACATGACATCTGGTTACTATTAGCTTTATCCTATTATATGCATGTATCAGTTGTAAAATAAAAGAATCAGGTATGATTACAAATAATGTCCAAGATGGTGCCATGTCTTCCAGCACAACATAAAAAATTACAAGGAGCATCCTTTTAAGATTTTTTTAATGTGGACACTATTTTTATGACAACCAAGACCAATATAAATATATAATAACTATATAACTACATAACTTTCTCATTATTCACATTAAATGTCTTTCTAATAACTGTAATGTAAAACAAAATCTAATTCTCATTTCTGTGATAATGTGTCCTTATTACACAATACATATTAACAGCTAATTATGCAGAATTACAACCAGATTCTATTCCTAACCTTATAATACAGTAAGTACATGTTGTTAATTGAAATTGATACTACTCAGTTTCTAAACTAAAAGTGTATCAGCATTTCTTGCTTTTAGATTTTGATTTTTGGTGTGAAATATAATCCAAATAGTTCTTGACAGTTTCTTTGTGAGATTCTCCATTTTAGATTTGCAGATACATTTTTTTTTTTGATCGAAGCATCTGAGATTTGAAGTCTGTCGGTGAAACAGTGTTTTGATGGTGGCATGTTTATTGTATGGTAGAATCAGTTACTGATTCTTTTAAAACCGATTCAGTGCTGCAGTATATATATCAGCATAAATCAGCCACTGTGTGCATTTCTGCTCCGCGCTCAGAGAAGACGCATGCTCGCACAAACAATAGCATCCAGTGTTCTGTTCGAGTCACCTGAAATGCTTTTAACGGGATTGGAATCAATAGCTAATCCGTTTCCTCCGCCTCAATATGAGGCTGGCGTGAGAGACGCACATGTGTTAGAGCGAGCAAATCTGCTTACGGATCCTGCTGTTTTATGGAATGATCGAGGACAGGGTGTTTTAAGTCAAGGGCATCTGAGTTTGACCGTCCCAGCAGCTGCGCATTCCTATTAGCAGGGAGGGTGTGATGCGTGCTGGGACGCGCTGAATGCTCTTGTGTGTGATGTCATCCGCCGACACCACCACTGCCATGCTTCAATGCCATGTAGTCAGGTGTGAAATTGGAGCTTCTGTTTTGGAAACAGAATGTCCTGGGAATATAGATCTAAACAGGAAATCAGCATCAGATGCCAGCGATATTTGAGGATTCTGTTCAGATTTAATGTCTGAATAAAGGAAACTGGGTCTAAAGAGGCCATATTACAAAGTCTTGATTTAGTTTTTAGGGTCTAAGAATAGGTTTTCATGCTTGAATGTTAAAAAAAAAAACACATTATTGTTCACTTATTTTACATTGTTTCAGCACCTCTCTTTCCACTCTGTCAGTAACGCTCTGTTTAGTTCCTGTCTCAATGAAGCCCCTCCTTCCGAAAAAGCGTAATGTGCTCTGATTGGTCGGCTGGATCAGTGTGTTGTGATTGGTCAACCACTTCGAGCGTGTTTGCAGAGATGACACGCCCCTTACCATAACCGTGAGTCTCAGCTTCTCAGGTGGAAACACTAACAATGGCGTCACTTTTGCTTTATCAATTCGATTGATTCGGAGTGGAAAAAACAGCATTTCTAGGACATGGTGACAACACATTACTAACGCAACTCAAAGAGGCCCCACCTCTTCTTTTTGCATATGCCTTCGGCGGGAACTATTTAAATGAGGATTATTAACTATTTAAATGAGCAACATTACACACTAAAGAAAATTGGAAATGTAAAAAATCATATTAGGTCCTTTTTAAAGGGGTGATGAACTGAGAAATCAAATTTTCCTTGAGGTTTTGACATCTAAGAGGACATCATATTTTAAGAATATCCTGTAAGTTTCAGAACTGAAAACGTCCTTGTTAGTCTAATAGCAAACGACTTGTTTTTCAAAGTGGGAAACTATGACGTCAAAGAGGATGAAACACCACCCCCGCAGAAGATCAACGCCTACTTCAACATGGCCGGTTTAGACGCACAGACTCATGTGTGGGCGAATCATTCAGGTTGCCATTTTACAACATTGGACGTTTTCAAAACAATTTCCCCCACGTGCACTGAGTGACGAGTGAGTTGAAACTCATTATAATATGCAAAACTGTTATCCACTCACAGCAGTGGGCGTTTACTTCCAAGACGCCCATAAAGACCGAGCGTTTTTCAGCTAGGCTAAAAACTAGGGTACAAAATAGCCTATTACTTGTTCATTTTGATGTTTTTGAATGCAAAAACCAAGCGAGCGTCATAAGTTGACCTCAGACAACAATATAATACAATTTAAAAAGCCAGTTCATGACCCCTTTAATAGAAGTTGTTGAATGTCCAGATAGTAGTTTTGACTAAAGCAAAGTAGTTGTGTTTACAGTATAGCATTTACAATAGAAGTCTATAAGGCAAGGCTTCGTTGAACGTTAAAATTCAGCACTTTAAAGCACTTTATAAAATACAGATTGTTTCAAAGCAGCTGCACAGTAATAAACAGAAAACAATAACAGCTTTAATGTTGCAAAATTCTTCAGTTACTGTATGTAAAGCAGCTCTACACAAGACAATAATGTAATTTAGGGCTTAACAATTAATCAAAATAAAATCGAAATCATGATATGGCTTACTGCAATTTGATGAAATAAACATACGCACTGTGTTTCAGAATGAAGCGCGGCACTGTGTTCATTTACATGCTTAGATAATTATTTTTTCTTCATTTGAAATGTATTACGATAGTAATATTTCCTATTTTGTTTAATTTTTTTATTTAATAATAAGCATCATTATAGATCTGATATAATAAAAAAAGATTATTTTATACTTATCTTGATATATAATCACAACATTTTTGGCCAAATTGTGCAATTTACAACAGAGAAATTACTATTTTATTTTCCACAAAAATCCTGCAGCCCTAGTGCCTAGTTCAGCTCAATTTAGTTCAATGTTGCATTCAATTTAGTTAGAAAGTAAGATATTTTGAAAGTACGATATGAAAGCTGTAAGCACTGTATTTATCTTTTCCAGACATATTACTGAAAGTCAGTAGGTTGCCATTTGGAAGCGCTTTGCCAGATTGGTCTCTCACTATCTGACATTTTGAAAGGTGGGATTTACATGTCTATAAACTACTTTCCCACATTTGCGTGCGGGCCGTTCTTGAAGGCACTTGACTGTGGACAGACTGAGTGCATTTTTAATGATCTCTCTGAAATTACATACCAGCTTTACGTTCTTGTCTCGTCTCCGAGAAATCTGGTTTGAGCGGTGAGCTAGCTCATCTCTACTGTAAGACAACACGAGAGCCCTTTGACATAGATTCTCTCCGCACCGCAGTGTCCCTGAGGATTCTGCCTCTTCAGGCAGAGTCATGATGAGGACGTATAAAACAACGGATAAGGCAATGTGAGACGAGTCCATGCACTGTAACATTATTCATTAACAAATGTTTATGAAAGCTGACTTTCATACTTATTTTTTTTTAAATAATTTCGAGTCAAGTATACTTATATAATGGTTGACAGGACCTACACATTTCCATCATTACTCCAGGCTTCAGTGTCACATGATCCTTCAGAAATCATTCTAAAATTCAGATTTGCTGCTCAAGGAACATTTATTATCACAGTTGTACTGCTTAATATTTTTTTGTGTTCAAATGCACTTCATTTGAAATAGAAATATTTTGTGACATTACAAATGTATTTACTCGCTGAAAAAAAATGGCTTTATCCAAAGCCACTTACAAATGCTGTAACACGTAAGCATGTATCATAAAATATATATTAGGAATTGACCAATGTGGGTTTTTCAATATCTGATGCTCATGGCGACAACAACACGAGCCTTTGAATATAAGCCAAGCGCTAATGTAGAGGTTGGAGGCAAACTAGCGTCCAGCATGGAAAGTGATGTCATAGCACAGGTGGAATGTGGCTTGTGCCAGACTGATGAATGACTTTGGCAAATACAGTGACCATATCAAACGCTGGTCACCAATTCAATTCCAAAAATCTTACAATTATGTAGTAAATATTCATAATTGTGTAAAATATGTGATATTTTATATTTTCTGTACAACTCCTTAAAGAAATTCACATACTCATTGCCTAATATATTGGAAATTGATGATTTACAGCAATGCAAATGTTAGTATTTATCTTGGTTGTTCCTTTAATCATTTTTATTATAATTTATGTATATATATATATATATATATATATATATATATGTTTATTGATATTCTTTACTATACAAAAACCAAATATATTATGCACTCAAAAAGGAGTGAACAGATTAGTTTGATAGTTTTTTTCTCAGGATCACCATCACACTAAAAATAGAGGTTCAAAACCAAGATACATGTTACATGTTTCAGCAACTAAAAATTATTTGCATTGGGAAAGCACAAACTGCCATTTGACAAGAACACATTATTTTGTATCCAATCCAGTTTCATTCATATCGCACATTTTTAAGAGTGGCTTAAGGGGCCGCTGTGGTGTGATATGGATTGCCGTACTACCATTTGGTAGTTGTGTCACAGTTTCTTTCTTTGTAGTCTTTTATCAGGATTTAAGCTACTATTATAAACACAATCCCACAGTTTCGCTCAATGTTCCTCTGGCAAAATGAAGCAGCCTCTTTCTGTTCTATGTCCGGCAGTGAGCTCATTAGAGCACCAGATGGAGGCCAGATCTCTCTGGATTGGTTTGACAATGATGACAGCACATCCCACCCGGACCAGTCCACGCGACCCACTGTGCTGCTGCTCCCGGGACTGACGGGCACAAGCCGCGAATCCTACATTCTACATATGGTACAGCAGAGCCGAGATATGGGATACAGGTGAGCAGCCTAGTTCACAGCCTTTCATTTAAGACCTGTACACTCTAAGGACCTTAACGAGTAATATAACGAGGATAATATACTATAACGAGTCCACACCACAACTATAACAAAAACGGCAATCACTTTCAGAGCAATTTTTTCCATCTGATGAACATTGAAAGAAATAACAGCCAATCAGAATCCATCCTGGTAAACACCTTCGAACTGGTCCGTGGTGATTATGTAATAGGTAGTTGTGGCTCACACCGATTTTTCCAGGAGACTCCCGAATTTCAAAGGCTCTCCCAAAAATCTCCCAGACCGAACTTTCTCCCGAATTTCCACCCAGACAACAACCATCCGTCACTGGGCACTGTTTCAGACCGAACAATAACAGGGGAAAAGGAAGAAAGAAGAGACCGTGGCGAATAAAAAGAGAAAATATGCCTGCAAATTCCTAACTGAATGGAAATAATAATTCACGTTCATCCAGGACAGCTCGAAGGGATATCCCTGACCCCTGCCTGTTTGTTATTTTTCCCGGAAAAACTCGGCCGAAACTCCTTTATGAATAATCCAAGCAATATGTTTGTCCAAAATTGCAACATGACATCATGACTTTTGCGTAAACATAAACACCAATTTCGAGTCAAGTGGCGTGTTATTTCGACGCATTTTGAGCTATCCGCGTGTATGCGTGTATGTCTATGCCATTAACGTCCGCGTCATTCCACGTGTCTGTACACACCATCAAATGTCCGAGCAAAACAAAGCAAAATGTACATCTACATCTGGGGAGCTATGTTTTTCTTTCCTAGGATGGTAAGGGAACAGTCATAAATGCCACTAACCCCAGTGACGGTTAGGTTTAGGGATGGGGTTGAGGTTGAGGTAAGTCATATATTTATATAAACAGTTATGTAACGGCGTTCATAAACACGCTGAAAAGCGATTATGCGCGTTGATAGCACGCCAAAAATGGAAATACGAATTGCCGCGTCATACACACGCTACTTCATGAGATCAGTCTGAATATTGACCAGTTGCCAGATTTGATTAAATGCATTATATTCACACAATCCACAGACCATAGCACACAACTAAAGTTATTGCATGCAGAGGCCAGACAGACTCACAGGGGCGATTGGCATCTCACAACTCGCACTTTATTCCCAAAACGAACTCGTGTAGGCTACTCGTTACTTAAAAATGAGCGTCAAACATGATATACCCGCATACATGGGGTATCCGCATAGACAGTAAAAGGGGTGTTCGAGGCACACGGCACATTGAACTGGAGAATTTTAAATTCTTAAAAGCATATTAATATAGAATTTAACTATTTTACAGCAGCTTGCCTGAGTAATTCCAGCAGAATTTGCGATTTTTCTTCACACACACGTCACATTCAACTTGAATTCTTACTGCACCTGTAGTACGGTTCAAAAGCAACATAATTTCCATTCGCTGTGCACATTTTGTATAGTAAGATTCACTTCAATGCTTTTGTTAGCTTTGTTCACCTGTGTTAGAACATGTGTAGATCAATGCATTACAGTATGCATGCTTTACAATTGCCCTACAACCTCTTTGTTACTTCTACTTCTGAAGTTGCCACTCTATGTAGCCAGAGAGCGAGTGTGTCGACAAAGAGCTGAGCTCTGTATTGAACCATTCAGGGATGCAGAGGCGGGCACTTTCTCTCTTTTGGGCATCTGTCTGGAGAGGCGTGAGGTCGTGGGAGCTACAGCAGCTCACTCAGCATCTTTCTTTAGCCTGTGTTCTCTGCTTAATGAACTGCAGATTTGTCCATTTTTGCTGCTTAGCTTAGATCAACTTTCCATGCCGCAGCGAAAAAAAGGCCCACCGTCCGCTAAAGGTACACTAAGACATTAGCAGCGACGTATGATAATAGATGGAAACTAGTTTTGCTTTTTCCATTTTAACCTCTTGAAATTTTAAGAAGTTATTTGTGCACTGACTGATGGATGTTGGCTATGAATAGGGTAAAAAAAAAAAATTAGGTATCACCATACTTGCTTGGTTGATTGATTACAATAATTTCAACTATTTTTACAAGTTTTCTGAAATGTTATATTTAAATATGTAATTTTAGGCATTATCTAATTAGAGTTTATCTCAATCGATTTGACACATTTCTCCAAACTCAGGTCACTGTTCTCAAAAACGTTAACACAGTGATCACTTTGTAATTGTCCTATAGAGGTTGTCCATTTTCCTTCATTTCATGGAAATTACAAATCATAATTTTCATAAAAATCATAAAAAAATGGTAAGATCCAATTGCAGTATTTCATTAGGCTAATCTGTACTCACAAATCCAGTCCAGGCTAGGGTAACCTAACCCAAACTCCAAATCCTCAATCCAAACACAAGAGACCAGCAAACAAGACCTTCAGCTGGGACATGACATATAACAAGGACTCTGTGACAAACACCGAACAAACAGGGTATAGACCTTATGACAGGTATGAAAGTGAGGCTGTGAGGGATAGTCTTACCGTGTTTCCAATGGCATCCGCTGTAAAAAGCTGAATAAAGCGGCTAGATTACTTACAATTTTCCACAGCTTACATTGTCGGTAGTTTTTAGTCAACTGACATTTCTTTGAAAGATATTTTTCCAGTGTTTCATGAGCAGAACAATCCGAAAACACATTAAATAACAATACAGCCCATTGAAGAGATGCAAGTCTATCCCTCACAGCCTCGCTTTCATTCTCATTAAAAATCAAAGATGGCGCTGCCATGAATAAGGGGTATATATACACACACAGATACTAACAAGGTGACGGGAAACAGCTGTGTGCAATGATCAATGAGTGACAGGATGGGAAATTTAGGCCCTGTTTACACGAGAACGCTCGCGCGTGAAAACGTAAAAATATTTTATCGGATGTGCCTTTCGTTTACTTGGCAACGGCGTTTTGAGGCTCAAAAACGCAAAAAAGTGAAACCACCCTCCAGAGTGGAAATCTTTAAAAACGCTCCACCGCCGCGTTCCCGTGTAAATGGTAAAAACGCAAAAGTCTACTTGACGGTGAAAGTTGTACGCAGGCGCGTGGACTTGGTGTTGTTGTAGTATGCACTCCTAGCCGCCTGAAGTGCATACTACATTGAATTTCACTGGTTTGCCAACATAAGAGTGTGTTTTTGCTGTGTGTTGTCTTTTTTTTTACTTACATTTTTATTAATTCTTAACAGAGCATTTACATGTATCAACAACAATTATCAAAAATGTTGCTAATGTACAATCTTGAAAAGAGAGAAAATATATATATATATATTTCAGCATTGCATTTAGCATTTCTATGTGGTTTCAGCATCACCATACACACAAAAAACAAAGAAAATAAATAAGTAAAAATCACTTTTGGTGGTTGAGCAGGGACCCATCAACCATAACCCTAACTTGTTGGCCCTTTACATGAATAAGACTTCTACAGAACTCCATCGTAGACTAAAAACAGATTTCTGGAGTCGCTGTGTGTTGTCTTGAGAGCAACATTCATTTGGAGAAATGTGTCAAATCGATTGAGAAAAACTGTAAAGATTCAATAATTTGCACACAATTCCAGAACAGAAATCTGAACACTGTATTAAGGCAGGTTCAAAATTTTGGTTTCATTTGTTGACATATTAGAGTTAAAGGTTCTCTTACGAGAGTACTCTCGTGAACGCTAAGCTAGCTTACGCTACGGGAAAATCCCTTTCCTCGAGAATACTGAAGCTTGAGTTCCCGTTGTTAGCTAGCTTAGGCAACACGAGAGTACTCTCGTAAGAGAACAACAGTCATTACTAGCGTTACCTCTGTTCTCTCTAGTAGAGGGAACGAGTGTTGCGTAACTCTGCCATGCTAGTGCTGCGTTCTGGTTCGCTTTGAGATAAAAATCAAAGAACACCCTGTCTGCACTCTGTTTATATAGAGATAAGAAACGCCTATTTCGGTGGGACATGATGGACAGTCTCTTCTAGAGAGAACTGTGGTTATTGTTTTTACTGAGGTTGTTTTTTTTTTTGTTGTTGTTGTTTTTATCTTTTTATCATTTAAAAACTGAAAATATTGTCAATAGCCAGACACCGGCCTTTAAAGATATGTATTGTATTTGAAGTCAACGTAATAAAATACAATAAAAGCAACAATTAAAAGTGTATTCTGGATGTTTTCTTTCCATTAGTTTAAAACAACAGCCAAATAACAACAAAAGCCTAATAGCACAAAATCTCAAAATTGCCTCAATTGCCTTTTCGCTGTTGTTTTAGTATACCAGTAATTAATATAGTATTATCATATTTATCAGTATTTTGAATGATCTTTTACTTTTTTATATTTTGCATTTTCCTTTTAATTAATTACTTTAAAATTTACTAAGTTTGTTATGTGTTTTTTCCCTAATGTTTCCATTTAGCTTTTATTTTTATTTCAGTTTAGTACTGTAACGGTCATGTTCTGTTTCGTGGTCCTGTGTTTCCTGTCAAATGGACTCTTTTCATGAATCGTTACTTGTGTATTTCAGATGTGTGGTGTTCAATAACAGAGGTGTATCAGGTGAAAAGTTATTGGTAAGAATAATATTTTTATCTCCTCTATGTTCTGTTTCATCTTGCCTTGTTTAATATATCCCAAAACATGAGTATTGTTAAGCTTTAGCACAGGTTACACACATTGCTGCCTTTCACCATGAATATTTGCAAATATATGAAGCATGAGTCATTTAAATTTGTTGTGCAAACACATATCGTAAACTAGACCCCTGATAAAATCTTTTTTTTCTTTTTCGTTTGACTCATGTAACCTTCGTTGGAATTCAGATGATAAAGTTTTTCCGATGTGTGTTTGCAATTAAATGAGGCTTAAAATCGTGTTGGGAATGTGATCATAAAAACCTTTGCAGATGGATGTTGTCCCATGGAAATAATCTTTAAGGACAACCTACAAATATGTTTTATGTCAAATAACCAAATAATGGTTAAAAAATACACAATTTTAAGTAATAGGTCTGCTAAATTTTTTTTTGTATTCAATTAAAAATCTGATTAGTCAGAGACTATCAACACATCAAAATACACAATCAATAAATCTCATCAGTATTAGGGCTGTCAAACGATTAATCGCATCCAAAATAAAAGTTTGTGTTTACATATTTATATGTGGGTGCACTGTGTATATATATATATATATATATATATATATATATATAAACGCACACACATATATATTTAAGAAATATTTTCATGTATATACTGTATATAGATTTATATATAATTTATATTATATATAAATATAAATATTTTATATATAAATAATGTTTTTTTTTCTTAAATATACATGCATGTGTGTGTGTATTTATATATATATACTCAAAATAATTATACACAGTGCACCCACATATATTATGTAACAACAAACTTTTATTTTGGATGCGATTAATCGTTCAACAGCCCTAATCAATATGCTTTAATAATACTTCAAACTTCACCATACCTTATATTATCTTAATGAAAATTGATTTGTCATTGAGTGCACTCAATACAAAATGAGTTCTTTGGCATATACAATAAACCAAACATTTTATGTGTTTTATGCTATAGTATAGCATATTCTGCTTTAATTAATTTAAATAAAATATCAAACTGTTTTCTGTAATTTCAGCAGACGCTTTTCAATTACAATAATATGTTATTAAAAGTGGGAAAATGACTTATGAGTATATATATATTTTAATATATTGACATGTCAGGGCTTTGAGATCATGTCCATGCTTTATTGTACCCACATTAATACACTGAGATTGCTTATTCCATGAGCATGAATATGGATCATGTGAGCTTTGGTGTTTGTGTGCTTATGGTTAAAGATACACACTCTCTATTATCTTATAACATTTGTCCACTGTACTCTAGACGCCTAGGACTTATTGTGCAGCCAACACAGAGGATCTGGAGATGGTCATTGAGCATGTCCAGCGGACCATTGACAAAGCTCCGCTCATGGCGGCTGGGGTTTCTATGGGGGGGTGAGTTTAACACACACACACACACACACATACTCTCCTATCCTTCCCTTATATGGGAATTGATCACAGCTGACAGTACTATGATCAGGCATACTTGGATACTGTAGCTCTATTTTTCCACTGATACAAACTGTATAGCGCATGTAATTAAATAGAAAGTTAGCATGGAGTTGCCTATGTGAAATACAGTACCGTTTACAAGTTTGGGGTCTCTTATGCAGTAGTTGGCGATGTCACTTTGTAAAGAAACACTACGCACCTACAGACTAATACACATGCACGTGACGTCACCGTTTTCACACATTCTTGTTTTTGTATTTTACACTGAGACGATAACGGTATCGTTTTCAGAAACTAGCAGATTAAAACCTGTTTTCAAAAGTTGGCGTTTTTAGACCTCGAAAACGCAGTTGTCCTGTAAATGAGCGATCAAAACGCATAAAAAGTTTTCTGTTTTTCGTTGGAAACGGTGTTGTGTAAACGGCCCTTACTACATGCAGATTTGGTTCTCAAAAAACGTCTTATTATTATCTATGTTAAAAACTGCCGTGTTGCTTAATATTTTTGTGCAAAACATGGTCCACTCATAATAAATGACATTTTCCTTATTTTTCTTATGTAACGTTTGTTATTTATTTTATTTATTTGAGCGTTATTTCTTTATCCCTGAACTATTAAACATTTTTTTTTTTAGATGGACAAAACTAATGTTGTTCAATAATGTCACAAAAAAGGTACACAACTGAAGTATTGCTGTTTCAATTATAAGCATTATATAATAATATCAATTCCTAACTTATACTATAAAGTGTTCCTGCTTCATGATTTGTTCATGTATTTATTTCCTCCGTCAGACTCCTCCACAGCTTCATTTCACCATAGGCTTCTAAGTAAAAGTTGAGTCAGCAGTATTCTGCTCTAATCCTCTCCGTCTTACAGAAAGAAAAGGTCAGCTTCACACAGCTTATGCCCCAAAATGTAGCAGCTGTATATATATATATATATATATATGTTTGTGTGTGTGTGTGTGTGTCTGGGGGGTCACAGTAAATTTGCCAAGTAAGATATTTTGTTGATCCTAGAACAGCATTCCTGTCTTTATATTTAGTCATAACCAAATCCCTACCTTTAAACCTAACCCTACCGATATCTTATCCATAAAATCAGATATGTGAAAAAACACTGATGTAGAAGCACCTAACCCTGGTTATAAGCCTAAACTTCACATAAACTGAAAATTTTGCTCTCAAATCTGATCGATTGACAAAGATGTTGATCCAGGAACATGTTGTACTTGGTGAAATCATGTTCACCGTGTGGTGCGGTGTGTGAGTGTGTGTGATGGGGAGGTGGGTGCTGGTAAACCCTACGCTGTGGAGAAAAAAATCAAAAATGTTGGACCCCATGAGGAAAAAACAGCGTATAAATCATACTAAATTATGTTTTTTGAACATGTAAAAATGCAGTCAGTTCTCTGTTTAGGGGATGGAATATAGTTTGTACAGAATAAAAAGCATTGTTTGAATGGAATAACCCCTGTGTGTGTGTGTGTGTGTGTGTGTTTCTGTGCGCGTTCCTGGACTCATAATTGCATGAGGATGTTTCAGCTGCAGTGCTGTTATCGTGTCACTAAAATATCATATCTTGACACCCGACAGGATGATGCTGGCGAACTACGTGGGTCGGAAAGGCCCTGAGGTGCGTCTGAAGGGTGTGGTGGTGTTTTCGGCAGGCTGGGATGTGTTCGAGTGCACGGCTTCACTGGAGAAGCCCCTGGACCGCTTGCTCTTCAACTACTACCTTACCAGCTGCCTGCAGGCAGCCGTGGACCGGTCAGTGGGGTCAGAGGGGGATAAGCCCAGCTTAATTTACCGTAGTTAAGTGTGTGTGTGTGTGTGTGTGTGGAGTCGTCGCAGAGGACGTTGTCCCTGACTGCCCCCCTTTTTGGTTCTGATCTCTTTTTGAATGCTACCAAACGTGCCAAATAAGATTAAACTGAAATTGTTACGTATTTTGCTGAAGTACACAGAGTTCCAGAACAGGACTTATAAATTAAATGAACACTTTGCACATATGAGGTTTATTCTACTTTAACTCTTAATCAGCTTATCAGCAAAACAAAAAAGTGCCATGGTGATGTTGTTTGATACTACTGAATAGCTGTAGAATTTAATCAGCCACATATTTCTATATAAATTCAATTAAAATGGCAAATAACTTTTGTAAGGGATGACAACTGAACTCCACTTGCAGTTTTAATCTGGCAATGTGATTTGTTGCGGCATAGTGCGCACGGTTTGACAATGTTTTGATATGTTGTGGTATTTTTTAAGAATTCGTATGATTTATTTGAATAATATCTTCTTTAAGGTGTGATGAAATGCAAGTAGATGCAGATGGGTTTTTTTGTGTGTGTTATGTAGAGCCAGACCGATATATCGACCGGCCGATATTAGGCATTTCCCAAAATATCGGTATCGGCAGTTATAATGGCCGATAAATGAATATTTAAAAATTAAAATAAAAATGGACGAAACACGCTTCAATCATCTCTCCTTGGCCTGTTATATTGAAAATGGTATGTTTTACAATGTGCAGTATGATGTTATCTATTGCTAAATTATGGCTCATCATAGACTGGCTAACCACAAAGCTAGCTAATGCCACTCATCAGTGGAAGCCCGCTAACGTTAACATTAATGAGCTTGGAAACAACAATGAACTTTTTCTGCCTAAATAAAGTAATTATTACTGTATTTATTACTAGCGTATCTCTAGTTACAGTCCCTGCATTGTAAAATGTAAGTTATACTTGCGAGGAGTGAACATTTAGACATAGAGAAAAAGTATCAAACGTATCTTGTGCAGAAAAGTTAGCTTTTCTTTTACACGTGTGTGAAATCCAACAATATTTAATAAAAAAAAAATATCGGCCGATATATCGGAATATCGGATTTAAAACCCAAAAATATTTGTATTGGTATCGGCCTTTATCGGTCGGGCTGTAGTTTTATGACGTACATCTGAGTGAAACATTGACTTTGAGATTGGATTTTGAGATCTGGGAGCTTAAAAATGAAGGCAGATCTAAATGAAAAATGAGCCATTTAAGCAGACTAAATGTTCAGAGAAATAGAAGTCATGCTCACGTCACCAGAGAGAAATCGTCTGTTTCGCCTTGAGATCCAGTGACTTTCTGATTAAACATTAAAAAATAGAACAAATGAAACATGCATGGATAAAAAGAGCTTTAATTATAAGATGAAAGTTGAATACTTGTTATATGGAGATTATCCTAAAACTAATTGTGACATTTTCTCTCTTCTTTTTTTTTTTTTGCAGTCACAGAACCATTCTTGAAAAGAAATATGATATAGACCATGTGATGAAGGCGAGTCATTCATTCTGATCTTACACAATATGGTTTCACGTTTTTGTTACATATTGTTAAAGGGGTCATGAACTGGTTTTTAAATTTTATTATATTGTTGTCTGAGGTCAACTTATGACGTTTGCTTGGTTTTTCCATTCAAAAACATCAAAATGAATAACTAATAGGCTATTTTGTAACCTAGTTTTGAGCCTAGCTGAAAAACGCTCTGTTTTTATGGGCGTCTCGCACTGAACACTTGGAAGTAAACGCCCACTGCTGTGAGTGGAGAACAGTTTTGCATATTATGAGTTTCAACTCACCCGTCGATGCACGTGGGGGGAAATTGTTTTGAAAACGTCCAATGTTTTAAAATGGCGACCGGAATGATTCGCCCATACATGTTCGACCCAGAGTCCGTGTGTTGCACCATTCCTGTCGGATCCAATATAGACGGCACAGCACCGTTCTTTACTCTTAATCGGTCTGCAAATCCAGTCTTGTTTACAAAACAATCCTCAGTGAAATGAAGCGAACAGACGACGATGTTTTACCTCATCAGCTGGAACGTCATTAAAGTAAAGTCTAACCATGCAGTCCTATTGGAATCAAGAGGAAGCTTATGCAGCGACTGTCTTCTTCCACAACCAGGCGCTGCACAATATTCTGTATTGCTCGGTAGCTCGATCTGGTTTGTCATCCCGAGGTAGGAATCTACGTTATTTAGCTATGCGTGTAATGCGCAAATCGGTGGGCGGGGCTTAACCAGCCGTGTTGAAGTAGGCGTTGATCTTCTTCTGCGGGGGTGGGGTTTTATCCTCTTTGACGTCATAGTTCCCCACTTTGAAAAACGAGTCGTTTGCTGAGGCTGGTGTCAATAAAAGCTTTTATTGGACTAACAAGGACGTTTTCAGTTCTGAAACTTACAGGATATTTTTATAATATGATGACCTCTTAGATGTCAAAAGCTCAAGGAAAATTTGATTTCTCAGTTCATCACCCCTTTAATGTAATCGATTTATTCCTTGCTCGATCTGTGGTTCACTTCAACTTCAATCATGCATTTCACAGGCTAAAACAATCCGAGAGTTCGACGAACGTTTCACATCCATCATGTTCGGTTATCCATCCAATGAAGACTACTATCGAGACGCTAGTCCCATTCACAACATCAAGTCTGTGCAGGTGCCTATGCTGTGCCTCAACGCAGCTGACGACGTCTTTTCCCCCAATCACGGTGAGTTTAGTAGGGTTGCTTGAGAGATTTTAGCCCGTTGTGTATTTTCAGAAACTCTGCATGGTTGTGACATTTAAGTTTAGGGCTGAAGGTCATAACTTTCTCCCATCCATGTTCTCCTTCAGCCATTCCAGTAGATGCCGTGAAGCAGAACCCCAATGTGGCCCTCCTTATCACATGTCACGGCGGCCATATTGGCTTCCTTGAGGGTCTGTGGCCACGGCAGAGCACTTACATGGACCGAGTTTTTCAGCAGTTCACCAAGGCCGTGTTTGAGAACGGCAGCGGTCTAAATGATCTCCACTGACCCTCCCTTTCCATTACATCAGTTTATAGCCATTAGCAAAAAAAAAAAAAAAGAAAAACTAGTATACATTTTCAAAGTGAAGGGCACAGGTTCACTTGAAGGCCAGGGTTGTTTTTTCCATCTGTTCATTTATGTATTCCATTATTCTTGTAGTTTTACGCACATCTCTTTTATTTGCACTCACAGAACAGACCTTGCACATGTTCCATCCGTTTCATCCGTCCATCCATTGGTGAACTTATTTGTTTCTAAATTGCATTCATACTGTATGTGACTTGCATGCCTGTGTATGACTCTTAATTATGTATTTTTAAATCTCTGAATCACTCATTAGGTGATATTACTCGGCATTATTCCACACGAGGGTGAGAGTGTCCAAAAAACATGATCAAAAGCCTAATGGAAATTACTGGGACAATGTCACAGAAATGTCCACGTCACATGTCACCGCTAAATCAGAATAAAAAATAAAAATGAAAAAAAATTAGAATATATTATGTTTGCATAAATACATTTTGAAGCCCGATTTAATAAGAATATTTACTAACACACAAACACACATTTTCATGCAAAATAAATCCCATTCTCATTACCGTAATCCAGTAATAAAAAGGAAATAATTTTTGAAATAATTTAATTTAATAAATTAATTTAATTTTTGAACATAATGTCTTATAAAATCACAATGAATTACCTTAAACTTAGAATATTACTTTGCAAATTCACATTACAATTTAAATGTAATATAATTTTTTGCTTTTACAAAAAAGATCTTTGTCACATTAATGTAGCATTAGGAGTTTGTAAGATTATGATAGAAATGCCACTGCAGAATTAAACAGAAATTGTATTTATTTTATAAGCATGAATTGCTTGCTTAGAAGTCATTTTTAGATTTAAAAATATATATATATAATAATCTTTAAAATGTCAAAAGTGTTTATTTATTTATTTTTGATTGAAAGATTAGCATTGCCTGATCTCTGGGTACTTCAAGATGTAGAAATATTTGAAATATTTTAGGCCGTTTTGGTTTTAAGACTGAATGCCACAGAGAATGAATTTGCCTAATTGCCATATTGAAATTAATCCAAACAAGGTCATGTTCTTTATGCAAAATTCCCACAGTTTTGATGAGAAACTGCACTACTGTAGAAATGGTTGTAGCCATGAATGTTGGAGGGCATTATTTTATCCTAAGTATAAGATTTTATTTTTTTTCCAATTCAAAATCTAGGACCTAAGTGAAGAAAACAGTACTCCTTCTTATGTAAACATGAAGGTTTAATTCATTGATTACCATAAGTCAACGCCTTATCAGTTCAGTCCTTCCCAAGTGTTAAGGTAAGAAGATTTAGCTATTATTGTCTTTATAGTATCAATAAATTGTGTGTAAGGCGAGTTGAAGTAGAGACTTGTCTACATGTATTTATAGAGGGCATTTTTCCAATTAAATAGCTTTGTAGCCCTCAGGGACAACCCCCACTTCTGATATTTTTCCTGTTTCCTGTTAGTTTGTGTTTTTTAAGGCAAGGAAAGATTGTATCATATCAAAGTTTTTATTTTTCACAAGAATGTATCGCATGCACTTTTTTTGTCATTCATTACTGTTTTATTTGGCACTGACTAGCTCAACATTGTAAATTAATCATATTTTTTTACTAGGAATGTACAAATAGCACTGTTTATAGTTGAAGGCACCAACCTGTGCCCTATAATAAGTTAAAGTGTGTTTTCTTGGACCAGAAAGACTTGGCTTCAAGGATTATGTGAAAGTGAAAATGACTTAAACTACTGTTTGTCTAAACTAAAATATGCTTGCTTGGACTTTACTACAGGCTCAAATGGCTCTTTATATGATGGTGTATTGAAATCATACCAATAGCTCCTTCAATTATATAAAAAATGAAAGAGAAAAAAAAACAGGAGCAGTTATTATTTGTGTGAATATGACAGGAATACTTCGACCCAGGATGGATGTGATATTTTTGTTGAGGAAGCTCTTTATAAACGGTGGCCGAATATAATTGTAAATGAGGATTTTGAATGAGGAATGTTACTAGACGTTAGTTATGAAAACCTCAAACCATGTGTTGTACATTGACCTTTGTCTGTTTTTATGACGGTGCTGCTTCATATTGCGCATCTATCTGTCAGTGCTTTGGAGCCGCGACTGCTCCTGCGGACTGTAAAAATGCTTTCCGTCCATCCTGTTACTAAATAGCATGTGTCACTGTTTTTAAGTGTCTTGAGTAACTGTCCCAACATGGATCACATAACATGTAGCAGAACATACACTCTCCTAAAGGATTATAAGGAACACCTGTTCAATTTCTTATTAATGCAATTATCTAATCAACCAATCACATGGCAGTGGTCCTGGTCAAGACAGTCTCCTGAACTCCAAACTGAATGTCAGAATGGGAAAGAAAGGTGATTTAAGCAATTTTGAGCGTGGCATGGTTGTTGGTGCCAGACGGGCCAGTCTGAGTGTTTCACAATCTGCTCAGTTACTGGGATTTTCACGCACAACCATTTCTAGGGTTTACAAAGAATGGTGTGAAAGTGAAAAACATCCAGTATGCGGCAGTCCTGCGGGCGAAAATGCTTTATTGATGCTAGAGGTCAGAGGAGAATGGGCCGACTCATTCAAGCTGATAGAAGAGCAACTTTGACTGAAATAACCACTCGTTACAACCGAGGTATCCAGCAAAGCATTTGTGAAGACACAACACGCACAACCTTGAGGCGGAAGACCCCACCGGGTACCACTCATCTCCACTACAAATAGGAAAAAGAGGCTACAATTTGCAAGAGCAAAACAAAATGGACAGTTGAAGACTGGAATAATGTTGCCTGGTCTGATGAGTCTCGATTTCTGTTGAGACATTCAGATGGTAGAGTCAGAATTTGGCGTAAACAGAATGAGAACATGGATCCATCATGGCTTGTTACCACTGTGCAGTGGTGGTGGTGGTGTAATGGTGTGAGGGATGTTTTCTTGGCACACTTTAGGCCCCTTAGTGCCAATTGGGCATCGTTTAAATACCACGGCCTACCTGAGCATTGTTTCTGACCATGTCCATCCCTTTATGGATAATGCACCATGTCACAAAGCTTGAGTCATTTCAAATTGGTTTCTTGAACATGACAATGAGTTGACTGTACTAAAATGGCCCCCACAGTCACCAGATCTCAACCCAATAGAGCATCTTTGGGATGTAGTGGAACAGGAGCTTCGTGCCCTGGATGTGCAATTGTGCATCCCACAAATCTCCATCAACTGCAAGATGCTATCCTATCAATATAAGCCAACATTTCTAAAGAATACTTTCAGCACCTTGTTGAATCAATGCCACGTAAAATTAAGGCAGTTCTGAAGGTGAAAGGGGGTCTAACACAGTTTTATGGTTTTCCTAAATATCCTTTAGGTGAGTGTACATATTTTTTCCATGAAGATGTCTTTCCTTATGAATATTTATAAAAGGATTGTGTATTTAAGATGTGCAGCAATAAGATTTTAATATAAGACATGTCAATGTAGAATAAATATATGAACATGTACTATGGAATATAAGTGCATTTGTGGTCTTAAATAAATTATGGAATTTAGTCGTAAAGCAATATGTTAGTAACATGGTTATTTAATTATAGCCTGCCCTTTTGTACTGATAGTGTAATATTAATAATAATTATTATAATTGATATCATTATAATAATTATATGAAATATATAATTATACATTAATGAATGCCACTTGCCATGAGCCTTACAGTTTCAGTACAAACGGCAAACTGTTCAAAAGGCTTTAAATGATTACAGACGATGAATAAGGGTTTTATAAAGCGAAACGATCGCTCATTAAAAAAAAAGTTTACATTTTTTACAAGCTCAAATGCCCGCCTTGCTCTGTTCTGTGACACACGTTTGTGACTCTCCTGTTCGACTCGTTCATCAAAATGAACGAATCTTTTTCCGAGTCATTCAACGAACAAAACGAACGAACGAATTGACTCGGGAAAAGATTCGTTCATTTTGATGAACGAGTTCAAAGAGGAGAGTCAGTGCAGTGCAGTACCGAGCAAGGCGACCATTTGAGCTTATAAAACTTAAACTTAAACTTTTTGTATTTATTTTTTAAATGAGCGATCGTTTCGCTTGATAAGACGCTTATTCATCGTCTGGAATCGTTTAAAGCCCTTTGAACGGTTTGCAGTTTGCACTGAAACTTTCTTTTTGACCTTGAACCATTTGGTTACCAGTAAAGTCCATTATATGGAGAAAAATCCTGGAATGTTTTCATCAAAAACCTGAATTTCTTTTCGACTGAAGAAAGAAAGACATGGACATCTTGGTTGACATGAGGGTGAGTAAATTATCAGCAAAAGGTTTTTTTTTTTCAAAAGTGAACTACTCCTTTAAGGGTTTGAAACAACATGAGGGTGAGTAAGTAATGACAGAAATGTTTTGGTCGAATTAATAGTTCGTTCTATTTGATAATTTGATCCCCAAAGATTATGGGAATGTTGGCTTTGAACATTCTTAAAAACACGTGCAATTAAAATATTTAGTAGTGCAAACATTTTGAGAACATTATTAAAGACAATTGAACTTTAAACGAACTTACTATAAACATTACTGGAAGAATGTTTGCTCATAACTTTGGGAGAGCCCTGCCAGAACTTTACACTCTAAAAAATGCAGGGTTGTTTCAACCCAAATTTAAGTCAAATTATGGACAAACCCAAATGTTGGGTTAAAAACGCAATTAAATATGTACAGTTGAAAATGAAAGTTGAAGTTTAGTTAAAATTTGAAATTACTTTTTTAACCCAATGTTGGGTTGTTTGACCATATTTCACCCAAATTTTGGTTCAAACAACCCAACATTGTTTAGAGCTAGTTCTGACACCATTCCCCGTTAGCCGAGTCACCTTTACACATCCCTCACGTGGAATTCTGGATATCAGTGATTGGTGTTGAAATGACTTTATTTCACCTCACCTGCAGTGTGACCGTATCCTAAATGTCAAAATGTTACTTGTATTAACTTTGAACAGATGAACAACATGTGATATATTTCTTATATTGCTAATCATAATAATGCAATACAGTAACACCTGGCTGTGTTTGTCTATTGATTTGAACTGGTTTCCCACGTTTATAATGCCCAGCTGGCAGCTTACATACCAAAGTTCTAGGCTGTGTCAAATCATCAACCAATAATGAACCTTGCCCTAAATATTGTGGGACTCAGTATAAAATCGGACCACGGCTCAACCCAAGAGTCAATGAACTTTAATCACATTAATGCAGCGTGACACATTATCAGTCCACTCCGATGACTACCGTGGGTGAAAGCATGTGGGTGTTTTTAGAGTGAGCTTTCAAGCGAAGTGTACAACATAAAGTCGTTTATAAATAAATATGGCAGTCTTTGTTATGTTGCTTTGGTACAGTTTGAAGAGCCTAGATGCCCTACTTACATTCCCAAACACACAAATTCACAGTTTCCTCACTTTAGTACATTGGTGATGCAGACATGCTCTGCTAGAGACAGGCATCCTGGCTAATAATAAAATCTTGAATATTATGCATGTATCTTGTACAAGCCAAAATTAATTGGAGATACAGTAATTGTTCATTACTAAAAAGTAAAATACCAGATGATATAGTAATGATATCAGATAATATGATGCTTTAACTTAAAGGAATAGTAATAGTTCACTTTTCAAAAAACTTTTGCTGATAATTTACTCACCCCCATGTCATCCAAGATGTCCATGTCATTCTTTCTTCAGTCGAAAAGAAATTAAGGTTTTTGATGAAAACATTCCAGGATTTTTCTCCATGGACTTCATTGGGAACCAAACAATTGTTTTAAAAAGTGAACTACGGCCTTCATTCATCTTCGGAACACAAATGATATTTTTTATGAAATCTGAGAGCTTTCTGAACCAGCCTTAGACTCCAATGTAAAAACCACTTTCAAGGCCCAGAAAGATAGTAAAGACATCGTTAAAATAGTCCATGTGATTAAATCTGAGTGCACTTTTTGTTGTTGAAATATTCAGTATAAACACACTATTCACTATTTATACAACAAAATGGCTTTGAATAGTGCATGTGAATTGAGACACACCTTATATAACTTGCAGAAATAGAAACTGAACACTACGATTCACAAAATGGCGTTCTGTCTGGAACGCACAATCAATCGGAGTGAAACAGAGTGCTCCATTAACATCGCTCAGCCAATCAAATTCGAGGATCGGAACTTCACGTTATTTAGAAATTCTATTTTGCCATTTGTCTCGCATCAGAACAATATCACATAAGATTGAAAAGGTCACATTAGTTGAGCTTTCTACATTTTTGTCTAAAAGACTTACACAAACAGAATAAGATTGATGATAACACTTTAATACATTCATTTTTCTCAACAGCGATAAGAACACGTTTGTGAAATCAAATCCTTACTAAACCAAAGCCGGCCAGTAGATCATGAGGTAGAAGATTTCAAATGGTTTGGTGCTACATATGTTCACAATATTCACAGCTGACAGGAAAGATGCAAAGATTGTGAGAAGCAAATTGCATAATTTATGTGCACGTCAAATTATCTACAAATGAGACACATTCTAAAGGTTGTCCAGTGGGTATTTGGCTTTCTTCATCGTTACAATCAGTATCATTATCGGACCCGATGCATTTTTTTTTTTACTAAACACAAATAATGTAAACCATATACTTTTTTTTTTCCCGTTGGGTTACATCAGGTCATTTCTAATACGTCATCGATACAAAGTTTCAATGGAAGTGTGCAAAGCTTTTGATGACTAATTCAAGGACTTGACCTAGCAAGACATTCCTGATATTTCAATGATTATCAGCCCAAGAAGCTTGTTCAATAAATAAAACAATCCCTCGAAAAGGGGGATCCATTGGTCTAACTTTAAATAAATCACCCGAAACAGAAACTAATGGGTCCTAGGTAGATTCTTTGTGCCATGGAAAAATAAAAGAATGCATTTGATCTGTGACACATGAGGCTCAAAGTGACTCTTCAGGTAAAACTAGCCAGAATCCAAAGTGACAAAAAAAGTCTGTCATATATATTAATATCGGCATTTCTTAAAATGTAAACAAAGCTTTTTCTTTTAACATCCAAACAGTCATAAACCCCAAAAGATAAACCATTCATATTCTCAGACATACCATATAAGCTCATCCTTATA